CAATCTAGTCTAGTATTGGTGAATTTTATATATTGGTATACCCATTAAGATTTAAAGGGTAATTTCACCATATTACCAAAAGGTTTTTTTCCGGTTTCATGTGTTATGTTTCGGTGTTATGTGCCAGGATTTTGAAATAACCTGATCTTAGCAAAATTGATTAAAGTAAGAAAGTAGACATAAGAGATTGAGATTTAGTTTTAAAGATAAATCTGGTTGTTTCTTAATGAGCACAGAGACTGCAGATTTCTGTTCTCTCTGACCTTTACGATTTCACTGATGAATACATCTTCAGCTGGAGAGGAAAACCTAAGCAGTTGCTGTGGTGTAAAAACAAGTGAAAAATCAGGTCCTAATGGGAATGACAATCCTTATGTAACAAATCAGAGTTCTTTGAGCCAACACTAGAAAACCAGTACCATCACCAAAAACAAAAAACCCCCCTTTAAGAAACCCTCCTTTTTCATCATATCAAACATAATGTTGGTAGCAGAGAAGGTGGGGGAGCAGGTTTCCGAGCCAGATGCAGACAGCTGTCATGGAAACAGACACCACTTTGTTCATCTCTCTATCTTTGACTGTGACTCCTCATGTGCTCTCCTCCATCGATGAAAAATCAGTAATCATAAATAATAAAAAATAATATAGTTCAATTACGTTCATATTTATGTAGTGATATCAGTAGTTACATCCCCTTTTTTTGCCTTTTTTGATGTAGTTACTACTGAAACTACAATTTTGGGTCATAAAAACATGAATGAGAATGATTTTTTATTTTAAGAACTTCAAGAGACAGCTCCTGTGTAAACAAGAGATTTTGCTCTGACAAGTAAAAAGACCTGGCCCGTTGTTTAGACCGGTGTTCAAGCTGTTCATACTGTCTGAAAAGGTGCAGGTTGAAGACTGTTTTAGTTGTACAACTTGATTATAGATTGTACAAGCCAGATGTTACAAAACTGAAACTGACGAGTTAGATGACAGGCCCTTTTTTTTAGACCACTGCTCAAGTCAATATTTTTTCTTTTGTTCTTCACAAAATCCAAAATCCAAAATATAACATTTCTTCTTCAATTCCATTTTGTCCTAATAGGACTGTTTTGTTTAGGACAGGTTTAGGTGTCATATATATCATATGATTTATATTTATTCATTTATTTTACAAAGTAGTTGACTCAGACAGTACAAAAACTCAAGACGTGATCTCATTAATTTGAGTAAATCACTCACATAACTTCGGAGACTCTTCAACACAGACATGACCAAATAATATAAGACAAACCTTGGCAACTCCAGACATGATCTCAGCAATTTGAATATTAAAGAGTAACTTAGGATTGTAAATTAAAAGCCTGTTGGGTTTGGTCAGACATGTGCTTTGTTCCTCATTGCAGCGAGGTGAGAATCTAACCCACCGGAGAGCCGTTTCCTCACATAAACTCCAGACAATGTCCAGAGATTCAGGTCTGTTGCCCTTTCACACATATAGCACACAGCAGGTGTTTAAGTCGTGGCTACCTTGTGATTGACAAGTCATTCTTAGTGAGTCCATGACCAGGTGAGCCGTCATTGTTTCCTGCTACCGTCGGGTCACCGCTGCTGGCTGCAAAGCATCAACATGGTGACAGCCATAATGCCAGAGTTAAAGGCTTCAAAACGGTACTCCTCAAACCATGTTATATGTCACAATAGGTTAACGCTTGGATAAGTTCAGGGTTGCAGTGCATGGGTGAAAGGGACTGACGTCAACAAAAACAAGATTTTCAATGGATGCTAAGTTATTCTTTAACTCAGTGACTTGGATCTGGCCTCGACAATTTAGACACAAGGCTAGTTAGACACAAGGCTAGTTAGACATGGCCTCAGCAACTCGGACATTACTTCAGTGACCTGGACATGACCTCAGTAACTTGAACATGAGCTCAGTGACTTAGCTGTGACCTCAGGAAGTAAGACAGGACCTCATCAATCTGGACGTGACCTTGGCAGGACCGCAGCAGCTAAGCCACAACCTCAGTGACCAAACGTGACCGTGACTCTGATGCAATCTCTTACTTCGCGGGACTCAACTTGGACTTGGACTGAAGTGACTTGGCTACAACACCAGCGTAGTCGGGGCTAATTTTCTGTTAAGCAGCTGAATGTCTGCATGAAGTTTTCTTTCTTCCCCATCAGAACTGCGAGCACTTTGGCGAACATCCCCCGCTCAGTGTCAGATGGTTTGTGGTGTCAGAGAGTTCTTCAACCCCGGCAGAACATTCTGGTTTATTTTAGACACTGTTGGTCTAAAAATTGACAAAGCCTCTTACTGAAGTGTTAGCAGGATGTTTCTAATGTCTGGTTTGTTAAGTTTCTTTACAGTTTGCTCTGTCTTCTTCCCCTCCAGCAGGGCAGTGGTGGACCAATGCCAGAGCTCGGTCTGTTGAGGAGACATGTGTGTGTTGAGGAGGAGTGCTAACGAGGCTGAGCCAGCTAGGAGGTGAAGATGATGTGGGGTGACCTTTGACCTCCGAGAGGAGCTCTCTCTCAGACTGGGTTGCCTCTGGTGGGGTCAAGGCGCCCCACACTCGCCGCGAGGCAGCGGTCAGGGTCAGATTGAGGAACCCCCGAGCCTCCGTCCTGCCGTTTCCAACATCGACACGACCAATCGACTGACCGCAGAAGGACCGAGGAGGAGGAGGAGGAGGAGGAAGAAGAAGAAGGGAGCAAGGGAGCAAGGGAGGAAGGCTGAGTCTCTAATTTCTCTTTCTTTCTGTTTCCATCAACAGAAAACACAATTTTCTACGAACACGTACAGAAGGTCTGCTGGAGGGAAGCAGTGGTGGAAGAAATACTCAGATACTTTACAAAAGTACAAGTAGCAACACAACTATGTAAAAATACGTCATTACAAAATCATAAATCATAAAAAAAGCTAAGTAAAAGTACAGAGGAACTGTCAGCAAAATGTACTTCATCTATCAACAGTAAAAGTACTTACTGTGTAGGAAGATTGTGTTGTATAATAAATATTGTATATACTATTTTATAGGATTACTATTACTGATCCAACAATGCATAAGTAGCCTTTTATTGTAGTAGTTGGTTATGGTTAAACAAATGCTCACTACTTTATAAACTGTTGGGCAGTTCAGTTTTATGAGAACATTTCTGTATATAATTACATCCTGAAAACTTATTTTCCAAAAGCAAGTCAGTAGGAATGTTCTCGTAAGTTTTTATTTTGAATACTTTTGTCTCAAAACGCTCTAGAAGCGAGTATCTGTAGCTTGAAACAAGAAAGAATGAAAAAAACTTATAATATTCTTTCTGCAGATTTACTGACTCAGTTACATGTAAAAGTGACTTCATAAGGCGATTTTGTGAACTGAGCAATTCATTATATTTATGTAACAGACGTTTAATATGACAATTATTATACTTTAATGTTAATAAAGCTGGCAAACCAATTAAGTGGTGTAAAAAGTGCAATATTTAAATCTGAAATGTGGAGGAGCAGAAACAGAAAGCAGAATAACATATAAATACTCACATCAAGTAAAAAGTACCTCAAAATTGTACTTATATACAGTAGGTGAGGAAATACTTTAGTTACTTTTTATCCCTCAGTAGAGGTAAAGAGAGGAAACTGACACGAAGAGAGAGAAATGGAGGAGTTTGTGAGGAAGGAGACAAGAGGAGAGAGAGGAAAAAGTAAAGGAGTACAGTGGATCCTCCACTAGAATGTGAAATAAAATTCTGTCAGGTTGAAAAAAGGCAACATGAATGTGTTAAGATGGAGTCATCGGTGGATCATCACACATTTCTTTTAAGCTCCATTAATTCATATTTTGTATGGATTCATAAAATTAAATGCCTCCATCTTTATAACTTTAGATTTAAGTCATAATCTATACTCAAGAATTCTATCGATCTCATTGTAATAACTGTTAAGTAGGGTTTATTTAAGATGCTCTTCAGTCACTTACCTTAAAGTACTTTTTTGTGTTGTTTGTTTTATAGTTTTACAGTTTGTCTGGTTTTGTATGTATGGTGTCGGAATAAACTTTTATCCTGTCTGTTAATGTGGTGTGAGATTGGATGCCAGAGAGAATAGCCTCTGTTTGATGATGCTAAAGGGGATCCTAATAAATTAAATTAAATGTTCGCTCTAATTCCTTTAGGAGGTTCTGTTTTTACTCTACCTAGTATGAGATGACGAGGAGGCCTGCTTTGAACTGGTCCAGTCTGTCAATTTCAACTGTATTTTCCATAATAGTCAAATATGTCAATTTTCGGTCTTCATTCGTATCGTGGCAATAAATAGAAATAAACTGAATATCCGCATAAGCAGTCCATATAGACAGCTTCAGCCAAACACTTAAGGTCAATATTATTTAATGTAATAATGTTGACTGGTTTACAGTCTGCTAGTCAAACTGGGAGCAGACATCTCCCAGTTTAATTTTGTGATCCGGATTTGATACGCCTACACTCTCAATTGAGTTTGGCTTTAATAAACTTATTCCCAAACAATATTCCCAAAGCAATGAATGTGTATGAAGCAATATGCATCAAATGTGTCAATCAGTATTCAAACTGATGCTCCAATAAACCATAAATCCTGGTGTGCGTTTTTTTTATCTTTGTCTGGGCTCTAACAATGACCTGCAGCTCCTCCTGTTGGACGATTGACTGCATTACAACAAGACTAACTCATTTCCGTATTTCTCTTTAGAGCAAACTAAAACCAAAAAATATTTTCTGCCTCCCTCCCACACACTTCCCTTCTTCCCAGACTGCCCCTGTTCTCCTTCTTGTAACTTCCTAGTCTTTGTCCACTTCCTTATCCTTCCTCCTCTCTCAGAACGTCCTTTCCCCTCTTCATATTTCTCATTCACCTCCCTACTCTTCATTACCTGTCAGTGCTGCTTTGCTCATCCATTACGCTGCCTTCGCTCTCTCTCCCTCTCTCACTATTCTCCGTCTTCATTTCATTCTGCATCACAAAATACAAAAACTGGTAGACGAAGCACAAACTTTATTTAGAGCAGCAGCACAAATTAAAAATCTACAGAATAACTGACAAACACACAGATACCCCCTCCTGAGTTTTCTCTGTTGAAAGAAAAACAAACCTCTTAATCAAAGCAGTCAGCTGGCTTACAAACCAAAGTACACATGAACAGTCCTGCAGCAAATCTCTTCGATCAGAATCATCCCTTTTCTTCGCTCTGGTGCTGTAAAGGCTTCGCTGCTCCTTCTCTCGATAGTCTGTCGGCCTCCTCGTTGCCTCTGTAGCCGGAGTGACCTGGAACATGCAGCTGGAGGAAGACAAGCATTTGATGCTTTAAACTCAAAATGGTTTTAACTGCTGCAGTGTTTTACTTCTTTGTCATATCTCTTCACTGTTGAGGGATCAGACGTTGGATGGTTAATGCCACATTCATGTCATATGGGAGTTACTGTACGTACAGGTAGTGTTGATGCCAACCTTCCATTCTTAATTTCACGTCCGTTGTTCTGGAGAAAGATAGTTGATTGTTGAGTCTCATTCCTAACTCGTCAAATACTGACCACAAACAAACAGGTGGTGTTCGTGCTGACATTTTCAATTTGACGACCAGAGAATGAGATTCAACAATCAACTATCTTTCTCCAGAATGACTGACCCAACATTTAATTATAAAAAGGTGGCTGACTACACCAACAAATATGATTGTCTCAAGTCAGCTGATGTCCATTTTTTTAAGGTCATTAAACCCAAATGTAATAGATATTGTGTTATATTATGTATTTTTTTATCCTCACGTGGCCAACTCTGCAGTCAGAAAACCACCTGCCCAATGACTTGCAAGTCATAAACATGGGAACTTTTACTATTAAGATCAAGAATTTTCCTCACAGGGAACACAACCCTATGTTCTATTTCATGAGTGCCATCCAGCATCATTAAGTGTGAAGCTTTTTATATCAACAGAGAATAATGCATAAAACATTTTCCTTGACTATGGATACTTAAAAACACACAAGAACACACACTGCTGCTTTATATTATCAAGATTTTGTGATGAGCCTCTAGCGCCCCTCGTGGCAATTTTACTAAGTGTTACGAGATTGGTGTGCCTTTCCAAAGGGAAAGCTAGACAAAGTCGCCCTCTCACAGCAGAGGGCGCTAGACTGCAAAAACAAAACCTACAACAATATAATACTGTACTGCTAGTACGATAAGCAGCACAGACTAACCTTAACTAATAACACTGCTGTTTTTAAACACATTACTCTCACAGTGTCTGTGATCACATCACAAGCACGGATCCAACAGGGCTGTCTTTAAATCCCTTTATGGGTGGAATATTGATTAAGAAAATTCTCTATGTTGGGTTGTCTTCAGGTTATACAAGTTAGCCATTAAGTTCAGAGTCATGAACAATTTTTTTTGTGGGCCAGTACATAGAAATCTGAAATATTATGAGCTTAGATGGAGAAAAATCACCTAATGAAGGCTGTAAAGTTGTTACAAGTTATAAACAGGTAGTGTACCTCACTGCTTTTCTTGAGGAGCAATTAAATCATCTAATTGATAAGTGTAAGTGGTGTGGAATCACAGTATGATTTTATTTTACAGTAACATGGCCCAGCTGTGGGTCTGGAGTGAATTAGTAATTAAGTTCAGGGTGAAGTGACTCATCTGATATTTACCCAGACCACCTCCACCTCTGCATTCAGTTTGTCCAACTTCATAAAGTCGTCTTTGTTGGTGATCTGACCTCCAGATTTCAGCCTCCAGCCATTCAGCTTCCATGCGTTCACCCAGCTGGTCACACCTGCAGCAAACACACCACAGACTTCAAACCCAACTCTTCAAGGTCTACTATGGTGAAATTCAAAAACCCGGACCTGTCACATGTTGGACATGAATATGACTTTGATCAGTTGCACCTCTCAGGTTTCATGTTCAGAAAGCCAGACTTTGATGTTTTCTTTTACAACTCACCGTTGATCGTAAACTTGCTGTCTGTGTAGAGAACCAACTTCTTTATGTTGTTCTCTTTGGCTTGTTCCAGCGCTTTGCATGCTGCCTGGTTCAAACACACAACCAGTAAAGCTGTTAACACACTGTTGTATCTGTGTTTGTGCATGGCAGATAAATGTTTCTGCACATAAAGATTATTTTTAAAAAGACCTGTAAGACGTATTGAGATGACATTTTGTAGACTCAGGGTGACTATAATATGTTAAAAAGAACACATATACACACACTGTACAATTACATACTGTTGTAGGGCATTTGACTTTGGAAATGTTTTATATGTTTTTAAGTAATGTAATACATCTGCTTTAGTTCAGAGCTTCATACATACAATTAATTTCATGGGTAATTTCTCTCTGCGGGTCAGTATGACAGTTCAGTGTAAATTTGACATCTCATTAAAAATGTTCATTTACAATTCAAAGTTTAGGACAGTCACGTGATTTTTAAGGTCTTGTTTGCAAAAATTGTATCTAAAACATTTTAAGACTGTAAGGACCTGCAGACACACTGGTTTGACATGTTTAACTGATGAGTTTTAAGTTGCTGTTTTATTCCATCTTAAAAATGTACTAAAAACTAATCCAATTTAACTTCACCAAGCACTTAAAGTTTTATAGTATTTCTGTCACAATGGAGTTGCTTTTAACTGTGCTTAAGTTCTGGTGTTATGGATGCGATTAAGAGCTCAGTTTGAATAATAGATTGTTCTTAGTCATGTACAATAATTCCTGTTCATTGCAGAAGTTAACACTGTGGTTGGTATCTGGCTTTTTTTTTTTAGACTGAAGCACTTGATGAAAGGTACCTGTAATTCTGCACGCTGGTTAGTTTGTCTTCCCTCCAGCCGCTCTGCAACATTTCTGCAAGACAGCAGCAATAAATGTGACGAATAAACAGATTTACTGGTTTATTATGGAGATGACATGTGTTGTCTGTTCTCCGTGTGCGTTTCCTCACAGTGGGTGGTTGTGGCCCCAGTACACTCCGATGCCGGCTCGGGCGCCATGCTGGCCGTTGCCCGTGCAGCCGCCATCGGTGTAAACGACAACAGCATCACCTGGACAGAGGGTTAAACAACTCTGAGTGACTCTGAAGTGACACTCAGGAGACCGTTAGAGTTCCAAGTTCCTATTTAATTTCCAGTGACGTTTGACCATCTTACCCATGTATGTGAAACCATCTGCGCTTTCTGAAGACACGCTTTCTGACTTTTTGACTCGTTTAGGTTGGGACTCCGCCTCCTTGTCTGAGTGACATCTCTTCTTACCAAGAGGGATGTATTCTAGAGGTTCAGGGCCTCTTTTGGGAAGCAAATTGACGTCTGACTCCACAGCCTGAGCCACTGAAAGCCAAAAACACAAAGTTAACTGTCATTTAAATTTTGAAAAATGCCATTGTGCAGATTATATTGAATAATTTTCCCAATTTCTGGAGGAGTTTAGTGTCTTCCCTAAAGACAATAAAGCTGAATATGTGACTGATTACAGATTAACTTCCTGCTGGGATCAAAACTACAACTTTTTTTGTGTTCTGGGATCAGAATCTACTCAAAGACTGATCATTCACAACCTCTTTTTTTTGTGAGGTTGTAGAGGAGAAAAGCTTCACGTTGGTCTGAACCAGCATACCTGTCTTCGCCTCTGGAGGTGCAGAAAGGTCCACTCCTCTAATGAACGCCCAGGCATCTTTCTCTGAGGCAAACTTCTTGTAAGAAGCTGATGGAAATTTGTTCACCTGGCTCTTACATTCATCCCTTAATCACAGTGAAAAACAGATGATCAACAATTTGTTCACGAAATCTGAAAAAGAACATTTCATGTATTTATTCTACACTTAGTGCAGATGTTGTGGTGTAATCACAGTAATGTCTTGAAATTACAGTTTATTCTGCACAGCGTTTATTATTTATTTTATATTTATTATAACTATTTTCAAATGTTTAAAATCTTCCAATAAAAAAACCCACTTACTCTGCATGAGTTTGGTGCACGTTTTACAAACCATATGGGTCATTTTTAAAAATGGCACAGCGTCAAATGGGTGTACACTTTGATGGAGAATATCATTCAAATAAACGGTTGCTGATGTATTAATTAAAAGCCGAATTGAAGAGTGGATTGTTGAGATTACAAAACACTTCAAATCTACCTTTTAGCTGGTGTGTAATTTTGCCAAAAGACAAGAAGACATTAAACCGCAAGATATCTGAATGGAGTTTGGCGTACAGCATATCATTTTCCACCGGAAATTCACCCTGGGACCAGTGACTTTGTGTTTTCTTACAAACACATGTCACTGTGGCCTAATACTGAGATGTAAACAGTCTCACCATGAGCTGTAGACTCCTGGTTTGAATCCTTTCTTCACAGCGTAGAAGAACTTGCCCTTCGCCATTTCATCGACGGCGGTGCAAACAGCCCTGCGTGCTACTCTGAAAAGACCATTCAGTCTAAACATCACTGGCAGCCGGTGGCTAACATCGTAATGATAACTCAGACACAATAAAATGTCATTAAATCTGACTGACCAATGTTTTATCTTGCTTAGAAACTCGTAACAATGTTAATTCAGCAGCTCGGCGTACGCCCGAATCCATTAAAGGGTCACTAAAAGACAGAATAACACTTAAATTAAACGACCCCAAGTAAATAAATATATATAAAAAATAATCTTACAACCTCTCGTTTCGTCTTCTATGTTTTAGATTTAAATATATATGTAAAGTGCTGCAATCAGTGACAAACTACATTGAAAAGTAATGTTGACAACAACTTCCGTTCATAAAAACTCGCGATGTTTTACAAAACCACGGCGTGGACTTGAACGCAACTTCTCGCGATATCTCCACGGCTCGCCCGCATTGGATTAATACAACTCTCGCGATGTTCCGGCCTCTTCCTTGGCCGTCGTTGACAGAGGTTAGTCGTGCTATTTTTCACTGGACTCACTTTTCTACTCCAAAATGAGCCTTAATGTCGTTATATTTGGGTGTTTGCTCACCGTGAAGCATGTTAAGTCTCTGATACGTTAGATTATGTGGTTTGTGGCGGCGGATGGCTGTTTTATATCACTAAATGAGGCGTAGTAGAGGAAGCTTTCTGTGAATGGAGGTTGTAACAGGGAGGCAGATAGCAGGCCGTGCATGTGTTCAGATAGCAGCTACAGGAGCAACTTGAAGAAGGTGGGGAGAATAATATATATGAAGCTTTATAATGAGTCGTTTCATGTGAATTAAAAGTTTTTACAGCTGTTTAATATATAAAATTCACCAGGTAAAGTGTAGCGGCGACGAATGACAGCCGGCTACGTTATATTAGCTCTAATTTAGTTGATCTAGCCTACAGATTGTCTTTAAGGGGGTTGAAACAACACTTTATTTCTTTTGTGGATGTAGATTTGTGTTTTTTGTGCATTTTTGTCCCAAACTCTTCCTCATATCTTACTGTGAGTTACCATTGAGCTGGTTTTCCTGTAGCTCAGCGGGTACACGCTGGTTTTAAGCTCTTCCAGGATCCAGTTCACTCAAGTGTTTTAGAGATGTCAGCCTGTTGTAAATGTAACCCGCATGTCTTTTATTTCTCTTTGCAGAGACAAAGGCCATGTTCAGTACCAGCGCCAAAATAGTGAAGCCCAATGGCGAAAAGCCAGACGAGTTTGAGTCTGGGATCTCCCAGGTAAGAGAAAAACAAGTTTAAGATCATCAAATTGTGTTTTATTGTAGTTTTACTGAAGCTGCATGTAGTGTGGAGAGTTGACTGCTCATACTTAAATTAGTGCTATTTGTGGTACATTAGGAATCCAGAGATTGAGAGAGAAATCACTGTAAAAGCCAGAAACCAAACCTAAAAGTTAAGAGAAGATCCAGAAATACTTTATGCCACACATTCTGCTTGACCTATGAATGAGGTCGGTCTTAACTAAATTCTGTATGTAACTTCAAGAGTTTTCAAAGTGAAAGTAGATGTGGCTTTTAAGTTAAAATGCTGGAGGGAAACTATTTGTGAATTGTCTGTAATTTGTGACCATAACAAAATCCACTGGACTTGTTTACTGTCAATGTCCTTAACTAGGAGTCAGGTTCTGCTCCGTTGCATATGAACCTGCTTTAGACTAACTGTGTAGCCAGATAGTGCAGGTGCAGTACTTGGGCCGCTGCAGTGGATGTGAACGTGTCTTGTGTCCCGACAGGCTCTGCTCGAGCTGGAGATGAACTCTGACCTGAAGGCTCAACTGAGAGAGCTGAACATCACTGCAGCAAAGGTAGGAGGCTAATTACTGAAGCATTTCCACTCACTCATAGTTATTTCATCACGATCAAACCATCTCAACCAGCTGTGTGCTGAGTTCAGACGCTGTGTTGAAACAGTTTAATGTAAATCTGATCCGACATGGATATCCAGCGAGGTTGCTCTCCTGGCTCTGTCCTCGTGGCGTATGGGAGCGTAGCTCTTGAGCTGAGACGTATATTCCCGTTCCACAATGTCGGAGAGAAAGCTCTGTCCCCGGCTGTCAGTCGGTGAGGACGGGCGTCCTGCATATTCCTACATCTTCCCAGAGTCCCTTGGGGCCGTTACTGGGGGGCTAAACCATGCAGTGCACATTTGATATCGTCGTATCATATCATTTTATATGCAGTAGTTTAAGTAAAGCATTATTGTTGAAAGTAAAAGGAACATTTTGTCACATTCACAGTTAGATCCTGAAATCCACCTAATGTTCCTACTGAACATTTAGGAGTCTTAAACAATGATGGTTTCTCACACAGAAGACTAATTTAAGCAAACATACACAGGCATTTGCTTTTGGTTGATAAGTAAATGTGCTGTATTTTATTTTTTCATTTGCTGTATTCAGTCTGTTCGTTTTTCTTTGTCTTTTTTTAGGAAATCGAAGTTGGTGGCAGCAGGAAAGCAATCATCATCTTCGTTCCCGTTCCTCAGCTGAAGTCCTTCCAGAAGATTCAAGTGCGTCTGGTGAGGGAGCTGGAAAAGAAGTTCAGCGGAAAGCACGTGGTCTTCATTGCACAGGTGAGGACAATGACGTCTGCCTCAGCATCTCAGCCTTGGATGGATACTGCAGGGTTGTGGTGAGGGCTTTCCCACTACGTATGTGTTTATAAGGACTACTTGAAAGCTGAGTGCTGTGGGGGCTTCAGGAGGGAACTTAGGAAATCTTGCATTCAGGGCCCATTGCTCCCTGCACTCACAGTGGAGCTCGTTCTCCAGTGTTTACTACAGGTTCACAGCTGGTCTGGATAATACAGATTTGTTTTTATACGACTTACACCCAGCAGAAACCAGAACTACTCCTGGGTTTGTGACTGATGTGGTGGGTTCATGCTGTCTGTCAAGGGCAGGGTGAACTGTTCTTTGGAGAAAATCATTAAGCATCTTCAAATTTTGTCATTTTTAAAGTTAAGGGGTGTTAAATTAGTGTTTTGTGTTCTGACTGTTTTATCCGACATGGATATCCAGCGAGGTTGCTCTCCTGGCTCTGTCCTCGTGGCGTATGGGAGCGTAGCTCTTGAGCTGAGACGTATATTCCCGTTCCACAATGTCGAAGAGAAAGCTCTGTCCCCGGCTGTCAGTCGGTGAGGACGGGCGTCCTGCATATTCCTACATCTTCCCAGAGTCCCTTGGGGCCGTTACTGGGGGGCTAAACCATGCAGTGCACATGATTTGATGTCAGGGTTCGACTGATGTAGGTGTTTAATTTCAGATATAGTTTGTTGTTCTTTGAAAGATTCACTTTAATGTCTCTATAATTGTATTATTGTTTAAAATGAAAGTGTCTCAAACTTTTGGGACAGAATGTTCCATTGAAATATTTTGTGAGTGTTTTTGTAATGCAGGAAGTTTTTGACACAAGCTTAGGAGTAAAACTAGAAGGAACATTAATATCTGTAGGTTATATCCCATATGAACCCACTGTATCAGTCTGACCCGGATTCATTCGGTTAATAATTTCATTGTCTTGAATTATTTGAGTTTAAAACTGTTTAAATGTGTGAGAGTCGTGATTGGAGATTAATCACAGTGTTGATTTTCAGAGGAGAATTCTGCCCAAACCCACCAGGAAAAGCCGCACAAAGAATAAGCAGAAGCGTCCCAGGAGGTGAGTGGAAATTCTGTCTGGATCTTGTTTCTATATTCCTTTTCTGGTTTACTGCAGTAGTATAATAAAGTGATTTAAAAACAATGGGGATGTGTAATATGAAATGGTAATGATGTGTATATAGATGTATATGTAGTTGAAGTATCAGACCATTGTAGCTAATAAGCAAAATGGTGAGTTAATAAATCGCTGTTGGACAAAATTCTGATGGTTTTTAGTAAAGTCTAAAAATCAAATTTGACTAACATATTGGTATTAAGAAAAAGGTTTCATCTTAAAAAACTGAAGCAGATAATCAATAAATAGACAATGAATCAGACAATTGTATGAAGCCAGTTTTTATCCGACATGGATATCCAGCGAGGTTGCTCTCCTGGCTCTGTCCTCGTGGCGTATGGGAGCGTAGCTCTTGAGCTGAGACGTATATTCCCGTTCCACAATGTCGGAGAGAAAGCTCTGTCCCCGGCTGTCAGTCGGTGAGGACGGGCGTCCTGCATATTCCTACATCTTCCCAGAGTCCCTTGGGGCCGTTACTGGGGGGCTAAACCATGCAGTGCACAACTTCTGTTTCTACTAGATTTATTATGAGTTGGAAACTACAATGCACATACAATGTCTTTATATTTTTACTAGCAAAAATGATTAACATTTATCCAACATGACTCATTTTGCTATAATAAACCACTAATGATTTTCTATTATCTGCCAATAGTGAGTTTTCTGTTGTCTAAGAGTCTGAAATTCAATTTACAAAATAAGAAGGCAGCAAATCACATTTTAGAGGATGAAACCAATAAATATTTGGATCTTTTGCTTGGAAAGTCAAATATTGAAAATATTGTCAGGTTTTCTGTTAAGGAATTGTTTCAGTTCTAGTTATGTTAACCCCTGAACTTGATGTTCAGCCTGCTGCAATGGTGTGTTAATGTGATTTGTTGTTGATTCCTCCTCCAGCCGTACTCTAACCGCGGTCCACGACGCCATCTTGGAGGACCTGGTGTTCCCCAGCGAGATCGTTGGTAAGAGGATCAGAGTGAAAATGGACAGCAGCAGGCTCATCAAGGTTCATCTGGACAAGGCCCAGCAGAATAATGTGGAACACAAAGTAAGTTAAAACAGGTGGAATAGATGGGTCTGGATGCTCCTGTGGTATGTGTAGAGCTGCAGTGATTCTTTTCTTTTTTCTTTAGTTATAAAGCTGTGTCTTAAATGAGTTTAAATCCGATCCGACATGGATATCCAGCGATGTCCCTCGTGGGCGTATGGGGAGCGTATCTCTTGAGCTGAGGACGTATATTCCGTTCCACAATGTCGGAGAGAAAGCTCTGTCCCGGCTGTCGTCGGTGAGGACGGAGCGTCCTGCATATTCCTACATCTCCCAGAGTCCTTGGGGGCCGTAAACCATGCAGTGCACAAAGTGTAACTGGAGTTGAGCTGATTGTTGCACCACTAACACTTAAAGTTATCTACACTGTGTATTCACTTTATCAACATTTAAGTATGATCTCAGTAATTACTGTAATTGGATTAGAACATTTTGATCTTGGATTTCATTAGATTGTACAGGTGTACCTATTAAAGTGACCACTTGGTTTAGTTTGTCACACTGTTGGTGCCTAAATTAATTAGTCCAAAAAGAAGGAAGTAATGAATTATTTTAGTATTACAAAGCAAGTTGTGTATTTGTCTTTAGGCTAAATCAGGAATGATCAGTACATTAATGAATGATTGAAGTTCTTGGCCAGAGTCACATACAACACACTGCGGCAAACTATTAGTGTTTTGCTGTTGGTTGGTTGGAGGATGTGACTTGGCCGAAGTTGAAGTCCTGGCAAAGAGGCACGTACGTGTGACCATTTAATCTTCAGATTTAAAAAAGCATTTCTTCTGAGGTTGTCGGTCAGTTTGAGCCTCTGTTGCTGTTTGTGTGTTGTGTGAAATAACTGATGTGATATTGCCGTTAACTTGTTTCCTGTTGTGTTTCAGGTGGAGACATTCTCTGGTGTCTACAAGAAGCTCACAGGCAAAGACGTTGTGTTTGAATTCCCAGAATTCCAGCTGTAAATGCAGATGACAAAATAAATTTGTTTACTGTCAACATTGTTGGTGGTTGTGTTTTCTCTTTTTCTGTACAGAAAATCCTGAGATTGTTCCCAAACACCAACAGCTTTATTTCCCCCTTTTTTTTTTTCTTCTTTTTTTTTAAGCATTTTTCAAAAGTCAAACCCTTTCCTAAATGAGCTGTAGGATCTCAGGATTCTACTTTTATTTTGGCGCCACCTTCAGGCCAAAACTTAAATTTAACCCACTAGAGACCAAGTTTAATTTAACAATTGTTTTCTGGTGTGCAATAATTGTTGCCTCACAGTCTTGATGACAATTATGTGTACATATACAAATAACACCAGTGTTCATTGGAATGTGGTGTGAAGCAACAAAAACCAACTTCCAAACTGTTAGTGAGGTAAACAATTTACTGCAGTTTAAAAACCTCTTTATACATTAAAAAATATAGAATAACATTAACCTGACGAACAATACAGTGTGGTTGGTTTTTTTTTGTAAAGTGTTAATTTTTGGTTCTTTGTATTAAATGTGTAGAGGGGCCAGAAGCAACTTGTTCACTCCTCAGACTCTGCTAATGGGAATTGGACCGTCAACCCCGGCAGTGTTGGTGCCTTTTATTAATGTCCCGTCGTGTGATACTGAAGCATTAACTTCCTCATTAAAGTTTCTCCCAGGTTGAGTCTTCTCCAGACATCTATTCCTCTCTGATTTGAGCTTCCATCCACATTGAATAAACAGTTTTTCTCCAGAGTGGAAACATTGGAGTTGTAGTGTGGAAGAGGAAACCAACTCACAAGTGAATGATGTATACTCAAACAAGGTTGGGTGCTGTTCAGATAATAGGAAGTTAAGGTTAAAACTGGATGAGACTTAATTGTATGTTTGATACTAACCTTACATTTGAGAGCATTTCACTGACTACCTACCATAGACGACCAATTCAGCCCAGACAACTTGAATATAAAAATGATGACTGATGTCCTACAGCTGGAATCAGTCAGCTGGTTCATGAGCTGTAATCATTTTATAATTGTTCAAATGTTTGACAATAAAAACTGAAATATGTCAATTTAAAGGAGCAAAATGTGTTTGGATCTTTTAAAACAACACTGATCATGGAGTAAATGAGGCTGCAGACTGGATGTTTAACCCCTCAACCATCTGGCAGTGGTGGATGACTCAGATCTTTTACTCAGGGGTGCAGTGGTGAATACGGAGGAAGGTTAACTGTAGTTTACCCACCTTGTTTCCCCTCATTGATACGGTTGATATGAAAATAGATGAATAAACTCTTTATTTCAAAGAGGTGGATAAAAAGGCTTTACTTGGGTTTGCCCCCCACTACACACCTGGTAAATAAAAGAAATACTGCAGTGTAAAAAATACTGTTTATGTATAAATGTTACAAGTAAAGTTCATGAAATATACTTCAAGTACCTAAAGCCTGTACTAATGGAGGTCCTAAACCTGGGGGTTGGGATCCCCATTAGGGGTCGCCAAAGCTTCATGAGGGGTCACGAGGTGTACTTGATCTTAAGAAAGTAAGAAAACTTTAAAAATATACATAGTAGGCCTATATATCAGCAGTTCATTCATTTCTGTGAAGAAATACAATTGTTTAGACATTTAAAAAAAAAAAACATAATGCAGACAGACTGAAAATATCAGGAAAACTTATCTGATGCAACTGACATGAAATAATCTGCTCAAAATTCCTCCAGATCGTCCTGCAGTTATTATGTAACTATATTATATTACTGTCATTGTGCTTTTTATCAGCTATAGAATAAAAAATATATATAAAATATGTAACTGATAAAAAAGGGGTCCCTTCAGGAAAAATGTTGGGAACCACTGCGCTAACCTACATCATAATTTATATATTTTTATATGAATAAAATTAGTATTAAAAAATCGGAAATCTGCAAAGTAACTAAGGCTGTCAAATAAATGTAGCTGAGTAAATGTTACAATATTTGCTTCCAAAATGTGGTGAAGCGTAACATTGAAATAACTCAAGTACAAGTTTAAGTAGAGTACTTCGAGTTACTTTCCACCACTGCCATCTAGGTGAACCATTAAAGCATTAAACAGTCACCTACAACATGCTTAGCACCGTTGTTCGGTCCCAGTTCACCCAGTGAGATCCAGCACAGTGAGATCCAGCACAGTGGCCTGGTCTCTGTCCCACTTCTTAACACATAACAGCTGAAAGATTTTTGCCATCTCTGTGTTTCAGTGCGGAAGGAAAATCTGAAACAGTGTTTCATCGTCCTTGGCGTTAATGTGGTCCCAGTCTCAGCTCAGTTCTCAGGAGGTCTCAGCTCTGCAGCGCCTCCTGCTGCCTGGTTGCGTTGGCTGATCTCCTGCAGCAAGATGGAGTTTGAGAGTCTCCATTCCCTGTATGTGGGAGCTGTGAGGGCCGGGTCGGTCAGGATCTGCTCCACCGCCTGCAGTTCCAACTCTTTGGCCTGCAGGACGGACAGAGCAGCAGGTGTTTGTACAGACATACAATCCTAATGACTTTACATTTGTCCAAATATGAAGGTTTTCTGGTTGAGCTTTGGTTGCATGCAGGTAGTCTGTGTTAACAATGACCAGCATGCGGAAGAGAAAGTCCTCGGATATCCGCTGACTGTATTTAGTGAAATGTACTGAAACCTTTGCTACTATAAAACAGGTTTTACAGTACGTTTTAACATTTTGGGGAAATAAGTATGTCTGCTGTCTTTCAGAGTGAGTTTGTCCATCAAACTAAAGGCAGGCGGCGATTAGACGACTGGAAGACTGGAAAAGGCTAGCTCTTTTTTTTAAATCTGTACACAAGCTCAACAACTAGGAGAACTTTTTTTCTCCTTGCCTAAAGCATCTTTCAGTATCAATCAACGTTTCTCACCTTTAATGTGCTTCTGAGGATCCTGAGCAGGTGAAGCTTTTCGTTGACTTTTTCGTTCTTACATCGTTTGATGAAGGACGCTCTGAAGTCCCTCTTACTGGACTGTCCAATCGGAGACAAGCTGGCTGCCCTCAGGTGCCTGTAGAGGCTCTCCATCTCATCAGGTGGCTTCTCTGTAGAAAGAAAGAGGTCTTAACTTTTAAAAAAAAAAGAGTCCTTATTTCAGCGGCCCGGGTTCGATTCGTCTCTCTCCCCACTTCCTGTCACTCTTCAGCTGTCACTTTGAATAAAAGGCAAAAAATCTTTAAACAAATACTTCACCAATTTAAAAGGATCAGTATTAATGCAGCAGAACCAGAGATGTTGTCTTATTCATTGCAGAAATTCTTTCCAAAACATGGCGCCTACATTTCCCACAATGCAACAGTCTTGTTTAAAACAGCTCAAATTACATCAACAATCTGTTATTCATGATATCCTAATCAGTCCTCAGCATTTTTGCCTTCAAGTCTCAAGTCTCACAGAATACAGACATCTCGTTTCAGCTTGTTCATATTAATTATCAACTCATTTTCCAGGATAAACTGGACATTTGGGATTCGGTGCAGCTGCTCATAATTTGGGACTGTCATGAATTTTTCAGACCCTACTGATGCTGACTTGAGTGACATCACTCAAGGACATTTATCAGACTTCACACAGCTCCCCCTGGAGACAATAAAGACTTTATACAACTTTTAATGAACTGCCCCACATTGGAAATAACTAGATTTCCCCTTTAGAGCAGCAGTTGTTATGCTAACCAGGTGTGGTAGCCAGGTGTTTATGGACGGCCTCCTCTTCTTTTTCCTCACTGACATGGAGCAGAGGCAGGGACACTGTTTTACCTGCTCCCTCTGGTCTGGGGAGGTCCAACCATGACAGACGCTTACTGCCCCCTGAGGCTCTTCTTCTTTCTGTACTTAAAGTTGCGCCATCGGAGGTACTTCTACTTCTGCTTTCACTGTTCAGTGTAGTGGGCGGGGTTGAGGCGCAGGGTGAAGAGTCACAGAGAGGCCGAAAAGTGTCCCCCTGCCAGGAGTACAGTGTGTTTACAGACTGTGTGGAGGGATTTGAATTCTGTAAATGTTGTTAGTTACCCTTTATACTTCCTTACTCACATTTTCAGATTCTTCTGTTTCCTGTTCGGGTTCCAAAGAACTGGAATTCAACTCATCCGTGTCCTGATCGCTGCCCTCGCTGTAGCACTCTGCACACAGGAAGAAGAGACAAGTGAAGGGACGAACAATGGGAGGAGAAAATGGAGGACAGCAAGGCGGGAAGGATCAGGAAGAGTAAGAAATAAGAAATAAGTGAAGTATGGAAGGAAGAAGAAAAGAAAGATAGGAAGAAAGAGAAGATTAAGAAGATGAAAACAAGGAACTACGACGTCCAAAAAAAAGGTAGGGAAAGGAAGAAAGGGGGAGGCCTACAGGAAAGAGGATGGGAAAGATGGGGAAATGGGAAACATATTTTTGTTTTTACAAATGTGCATCCAGGTTTATTCCTGTGTTTACTGCGTATATAAACTGCTTATATTTCTTAATCTAACCTTCAGTGTTGATCAGTTCGCATGGCTCGGCTGCTTCTGACAGTTTACTGATCCACCTGCAAGCGGACACAGCAACTTTAATGCAACATCCAAAGTGATGTACAGTAATGACTCATCTTTTTTACTTTACAGGGCAAAACAAGAAGTGGTTAAAAAAGACTGAGAGACAACAGCAAGAGGAGGAAGAGAAACAGAATCTATTTTTGTGCAGCAATTATTAGTTCAGAGGAAGATATAAACAGCTAGCGAATTGATTGTCATTTCTCTATTGCCATCAACAACCAAACAAATATTACTGTTGAACAAGAAGACTGAAACTGAAATCTGAAAAATAACTAGTGACTCAGTCTGTTCTGTAAGTTTTGGACAAACTGAAATTTTGACCTGATGATGGCGCTAGAGGAAAAAGTCAGAGGATCACCAAAGTTATTAAAATTCATCCTGAGGAGAATGTGAATGAAACATTTCATTGCAATCGTTTCAGTCTGGACCAAAGTGGATCAGCTCACCTGGGGCTAGCATGGCTAACACCATTTATACATTGCAAGATGTCTTCATTTGAATCATAAAATTACTATTTTCTATCGAGACTCCTCTGTGCAAATCCTGCCAGTATTACCTGGAATAAATCAAACACTCACTTATTCATGTCTGTGAAGCTCTCTGCAGCGACGAAAATGGTCACAACCAACGGATGACTGGCTGTTATGGCACTGAAACACAACACTGTGTGGTTAAATACATAAAGATGAGTAATAACTTACATAAAGTAATCATTCTATACACTGAACAGATAATCAGTCGTCACTGTCAGGCAGAGATGCCAAAGAGAGGTTCAGGAGAAATAATAGTGTTAAATATGCTGTGCTAAGAGTTTGAAGATTTCCGACCAGAATGAGTATTTTAAGACAGTTGGATACGTGCTGTAAGTTGATGCAGCTTTATACAAACAGAGTGTGAAAGAGGTTTCAGCTGCAGATTGTTTGACCACAAACAGCTGAATAAGACTGTCAGTGGTTTTTGTTTCTTTCTTTCCAGGCTTTGACAGGCTCACTACATGTCGCAACAAAGAGAAACAAACATGTCGTACTGTTTTTTCTTGTGCTGTTTGGCCTGTTCGATGGTGAAGCCGGACAGGTTGATGAATCCTTCTGCTTTCTCTGCCTGCAGAGAACAGAAATAAACAATCATGCATTTGTGTCTGTACTTCTTTTGTACATTAGTCGAACATTAATCTCAAGTTTCTGTGAGATTTGTGCATGAAGTAAGTGGTCGTACCCACAGGATGTATTAGGTTGTACTTACCTCAACACATTGGGTTGCTTTTCTTGAATGTGACCTAATCTCTGTTCTGTTATTATTTTACCCCAAGTTTTTTACACAAAAATCTGTTTTTTGACCTGAAAAAAAGCTATTTACCATCAGTTCAAACATGTAACCTCCCATACTTACAAGAAACCATAACCACAGTTAGACAGTGACTAAAATAATGAATCATAATAATTGCAAAAGGGACGTTCATTCGTGCCATAATACCTAAACTGTAAAAAGTACATAGACATTACACCCATATGTAACAGCCTTCACTCATCATCGTCTTCCAACCTGATGCAGGGATTTACTCCCAATCAGACAAAAGAGCATTAGTGAGGTCCAGCACTGATGTTCATCCCAAAAGTGCTGATGGGGTTGAGGAGGTATTGTCATGTTTAAGCAGGAAAGGGTCAAACTGCTGCCACAGAGTTGGAAGGACACTATTATCTAACTGTTTGTGTGGGGTGCAGCAGAACTCACACAACAGGTTGCAACAGGAAATACTAATGATAGTTTTAGTTTCAGATTCTGAATTATGATTATATACTATCTTAGTGAATGTAGGTGAAAGCTCTCTTCTGTCAGCCTGGAGTTTCCATACTACTTTTACTACTACTTAAAGCAGCAACAAGGAACTTAACTCTTAATTTTTTTTTTTTGTTGATTAGCCCCTGTGAGCAAGAGCAGTAGTGTTGCCAACGCCTCCTTTCAGTGAGGGGGCAAGCCGACAGTGGCAGATCTAGAGGGGTGGCAGTGGGTGGTAGCTGCCCCACCCCCAGTTTGGTGTCAAATGCTGTCAAATTTAACATATTAAATGAGATTCATTCAAAAACAATATGTGTTAAAATGTTTAAACAAACATATGCATATTAAAAATTAATATTAATTTAATCTACTGACCTGTTAGGATCACATTTTAGGCTTGAGTTCAACTTGAAAAGATTTGGAAACCATTTCTAATGCCACCTTTAGATATTTCTATTCAATGCTTTACTAATGTGACACAATAATCCAGATCCAGGCCAGCATTAGGGATAATTAGAAGAAGCCAGTCTTCTCGCCGATGGTCTTATTGAGGCATCAGTATTACTTTTTGATTCTTTCCTAACCAGTTAAAACTCACTGTAGAACATTTAAATCCAGGTTGTTGAGGCTGAATGGTAACATGTTATGAGCACTGATGCTGCCATTTCAAACAGTCTTGCTCTGACTCACCATCTTGTCAGTGTACCAGTACAGACAGCTCTTCTTCAGGACAAACCAGTATCTCTTCCATTTGCTTCCCAGGAAGCTGCGGCCCTCCTTCCTGCGGAGGAGCCACCCCTGACAGTCCACCACGCCCAGTTCTTTGATCGAAACCCGCCGCCGACTCATGGCTGCAGCCAGTGGGGGTAGGAAAGACAGCAGGTGTAATTGAAATGTCACAGGTTCAGGCTGCACTGCAACAGCTGGTGTGTCATCTGCCTGCAACAGTGGTTGTGTTGAAGACACAGGTGCCAAGGGGGTAAACACATATCAACAAGGAAACAGTCTTCAATACAACAGAGGCAACTGAGGTACTATGCTAGAAACAGAAGATGCTCCTTATTATTCCAGAACTTGCCTGAGAATTGCCGTGTTTTTAAGTTTTCTTCAGTATCAGGTAATGCAGTGACTCTTGTCTGTGCCTCCGTGGGTGAACTGCAACCAGGAACTGTTAATAGCTAATTCGGCATACTTTTAATGGTGCCAGTTTGCCAAAATGTAAAGAAATATAGGCTAAAAAATACTGTGTTAAAGCGCAACTCACTGAATCCATGGTAACCTTATACTTAATAAAAAGTATAAGAAACCTTCTTGTGTATCTGTTTAGTCAGAAGGTTTAAAAACACCGGGCCTGCCCTGAGTTAACTTAGCGTCAATCAATATTACTGTAAAAAGGTAAAGTGTGACTAAAACACCCCCAAGTCCTCCACTGAATGCACGTGGCCTTAAAGCTTATATAGAGGATATTCACTTGCCACTAGATGTCGATCAAAACCATTACAGCCAACCACAGTCCATTGACAAAAACATTTTTACCTTGCAGATTATTGTGAAACACACTTCAAACAGAAACAAAATAAAACTCATCAACCACTGTTTTTGTCTTTCCAACAATCACCAACTCTGGCTTGATTCACAGAGTTAAATCCCTAAAAATACCTTTTGTTTAACCGGAAAGCACCATAATATTGCTAACGCTCCCCAATAGACTCCATAGATAAACAGTAATTTTATCTGGTATATCATTGGAACATCATAACTCATACAAACTCATAAAAACAGTCTTTGCCCTTCCACTGTTCCAACAACAACCAGCTTTGGTTTGGTCAATATAGTTGTTTAGTGCTATAATATGTTATAAATCTTGTATATACAGTATATGACCTTTAAATAACACTTTGTTTGTTGTAGGAACCTGCCACAGCTCACTTGCCTTTCACATGGTTGATTTATCTATTGTCTTTTAACTTTGGTTCTGGTTTTAACTTCCTTTTTACCTGGGGTTTTATTTTTATAGCAGATGCGAGGTTTGAGCGGTGATGTTTGTGCCAAATTGTAAATAGGGTGCGGGCCACATGGTTACCTATGGCCTAGAAAGTTTTAGAATAGAAAAATATGTATGAGAAAGTTTAGCACAATGAATGACAACAAAGAAAACTATCTGCTGGTGAAGGTCATAATATGATCAAAAACCTCAAGAACATCTACAAAATAGTACATTTTATGTGATTTCTTTAGGGTTTTAGGTTTTTTGTTGTTCTCTGCGCTGTAAAAATACTTTTATTTAGAATGTTATTTATGATTTCTTTTCAATGTTATAATAATAAGTTATAACAGAAAAGTTATAATACAATAATAATTGTAAATTATTCTACATAGTCCAAAATCTAATCTTATATAATTCCCTTTCACTCAAACTACAAAAAAACATCTTCTGTAATGTCATCCATGCTTATAGTTTCGGGGTTTTTTGCCCATGTTTTAAATGTGAATTTAAAAGAGGTCTTACCTGCTGCAGTCTGGACGTCCAGCAGTTTGGTGTCTTTGCAGCAGACTGACGCTCAGCAGAGGAGGAACTAGAGTCTCTCAGCGCTGTCGATCAGACTTTATACCTCGACCCACATCCACACCACAAAGTCAAAATCTCACTCACACATACATGCATACCCCACACTATACTTCCTGTTTCACATGTTCTGTATGGCCCTTCTTCTCTGTTTTCTCAGTCTTTCTGCTCACAGTCTTTCTGCTTAGAAACTTCCTCATTGTTTTCTGGAAAGTAAAACATTTCTGCATCTTCTGACATTTAAACAACCTCTTTAATCAGCAGTTTTAAAAAAGAATCAATGTATTATAAAACAACAGTCCGACATCTGTCTTAAATTACATGACAGCTGGGAATTTGCAAAAAATGTAATTTACTGTCATCTACTGTTACGACCAGCTGAGGAGTAACTGGAGCATTGCACAAAAATTACTCTAATTCAACACTTTCTAATAGACACACACGGTCGGTCTCGTTAGGAGGGAGGCCGGCATCAGCAGGTGTCATTTTAAAGTAAGCGCCATCAGCCTCCTGTCCAATCAGCTTCCCCCTGCAGCTCACCACACGGAGAAAACAGGTTGACAGCACCACCTCAAGGTAGGGAGAGAAAACAGAACAACAATCACATAATCCTAGAAATACAAACACACATACGACTTACAACATTACCGTGCCTTCAGGGTGTCTCTGCGTGCAGATTTGATTGGTCTCGATAATGTGTGTCACATTTTTGAAGCCACGGCAAAAAGTAATCACTTGGGGGTTTTGATTTACCGCCTCATTTCGCACCAGATTTCATTTAAAGTCTGTAAAGGTTTTCAGATAGACTGCAAACTAACAGACAAAGAAACAACAGGGATTGCCCCTCATGTGGGGAATGTACTTTGAATTATGTTTGTCCAATTTTACAGTACATGACATTGTCCACCAGATGGTGCCGTTAGCCTTATACTTGTACAATGCTTTTAGACTTTAGTAAAGTGGACATCTATGACACAAGTTCCCAACATTTTTGAGTTAAGTTATCCTTTATTGACCCTGTAGGGAAATTCATTGACTCATCCTACGTGCCAGGAGTGAGGAGGACCAACTCCAGATCTGACTGAACATACATGTATTTATGGTGGGAGGGGAACTCCACACAGAAAGTCTCCAAAAAGCTGTGAGGCTAAAATGAAACATTGTTCTGCAATGTGAACAGGATTAATTTACAGAAAGAATATGCTGTTGTTTAATAAAATGCTACTGTGCCTTACAGGTTAGTATTCACTAAATGTCTTTCTATAAACATGGTTTCTCCAGTGGCTTTTATAGATTAGCTTTTATTGGAAATGTATTTTATGCGTTACAGATGGTGATGATGTTATTATGTCCTATGAAAGTTGTTGTACTCAATGCAAAGTTGAAATCTTTCAAAATAAATCGCACTTTATTTTTTATATTTTTTCACAAGTTACAAAGCGTCACAGAGGCATCATACTGTAGAGCTCTGCAATAATTCAGATGAAAAATGAAACCAGTTAAACTGAGTGACTTCTTACAAAATACTTTACGGTACATGTGGTTTTCCATAATGACAAAAACAGGATCATCCAAAATGTAGAGTTCCTGAGCAAGAAACAAGTGATTAATTTTCACCTTAAAGTTAAATCACAGTAACTTTGTGTAACCACTGTGGCCACAAGTGCTAATTACAGGATGGTGGCACCTTGGATATTCCTACATTTCCCATGACTGTTTCCAGCCATCAATAGGTGATCCCACTGAGAGTGAGAATGGGAATGGGATTATAAACAGAAAATAAATTCCATCTAAAATTTGCTGACATTACACTACTGGTCATACCAGACCGAGTAAGGCTTTACCTTAAGACTTAAGTAAAGTATGGTTTATTGCTTAAAAATGTTACTATTAACTTCAAAATGTTATATTTAAAAGGTTACATAGTCTCACTTTGAATAGAAATGTTATATTCAGAAACTCTTCAAATGTCAGAGAAATGTTTTTTATTCCACTTGTTTATTACTTGTTTCCACATTTCTTTCCAGCAAAGATCGCCTTTGTGATATTTACAGTTCCAATTACACTTTGATAATATTTTGTACAAGCTTTCATAACTCTTCATAATGTTTTGTTAGTATAAAGGCATGTTACACAAACCAGAAACACTCTTTACAAAAGAAAAATAGCTTTGAGGAAACGTCAGGAGCTTCTCAGACTGTAAACATCAGGTGATCCAAGATGCTTCCCTGAGGAACTCCTTCAGAAAGTTTTTCATAATGGTACAGAAACCTCAAACACACAGGAATTCTTCGAATAATCTTTAGAAGAACCACTGGAGATTTTTTTAGAGTGCAGTAAGCCACACCTGAAATACTTAAGATCAGTTAGTTTTACCTGAAATTCTAAGCAGCTTCCAGAAAACCTGTGTCAAAGTATCTGCAGACAACTCCGCCAAATGACGGCAGCAACAGTTTTCAGAATAAACTCAAGTATAATGTATGAGATTTAGAAGGTAAACTCTCTCATGGATAACACGGCATTTTGGAATTAAACACTTAAATTTCACTCTAAAACCAAAATATAAGCAAACATTTTCTGTTTGGCTTCACCAGCTGCTGTGAGAGTTCATGTTTTCTCCAGTTTGAGACCTTTTGATCAAATAATTTAACACAAATGTGAAAGTTTCTATATTAGGAATTGTTGCAAGAATTATTTTCATCATTTTGTTTTTTTAAATCTACAAAAACTTTAAGACTGCATTCTTAAAATGTATGTAAGTCATAAAAAATACTGTTGGTCAACTTTTTATCAATGTTGCTATTTGCCAACCTCCCTTTGACTGTTTAAGCGTTTGTTATTGTATTTTAGAAAATATTATTTAATTATTTCTCCTAAAAACAAGTTTATAATGTTATTACCGTTGTAGTAAGACTTTTGTGAAGCTTCAGAAATACTTAGTAACAATGTTGATGTTCTACTTTTATCTTCTCATAAACTACTCTGAAGAACACACTTTTCCTTAGATGAGTGAAATTTGGTCAGCAGTGATAAAACAAAAACAATAAGAAATATTTACAAACTGTTTTGTCCAGACAAACTACAGTAAAAGTACATATGTATATATATATGAGAGGCACTGTTGGCTCCTGAGATTGAGAGGAAAAGACTAGCTGCAGAAGCTATGATGTTTGATTATTTGCTCTTTGAATATGAATTTTGAGACCTTGAATCTTTAAAATTTGATTCTAATTATTTTGCTTATTGATTTGTCATATAACTTGAGCAATGAATAGACGCCAAAATCTGTTGAAAACAAAAACCAGCTTCATTTTCAGCAAATTTAGGCTGCCATATACAGAAATACAGAGGTATTTTGCAATTTGTTGAAGGGGTTAAAAGGCCAAAAACAACAACTTATTACTGTTTCTGTTTCCATGCATTTCCACTGCAGGTCTGTTAAATGTAGAGATTTACATCCTGTACGGAAGCTCAGCAGGTCCAAACTTTGTTAGTTAAAGTGGTTTTCAGTGTTCAAAAAGCACCATTAAAAAGTAAGTTTAAGTGATTCCTAGGTTTCATATACATATGTATTAGAAACTGGTTCAAATTCAGAACTGGTAAATATTTTGATAGTTCTTTGATGCCACTGTACTTTTTAACAGCTGTATTGAAAAAGAAAAAAGGTTTCAGCAGCTAGATTCACTTCTTCTTAAGTGTCTTCAAGCCTTAAAGAGAGGTATGTTTCAGAAGCGTGTTTTTTTTTGATAGGCGTCTGGACGTATCACAAGCAGTCATGGTGTTTTCAGCTCTTATTAATGCCACTGATGCAGCAGGCGGTGAACTCAAACTCCAGGCCTCACAATGTCTTTCCAAAAATAGATGTGTGTAAGAGACGTCAGAGAAGCTGCATCCATGTTTTCATTCAGCCTGTGGATGGATCAGTGATCTGCAGTCAAACAGCAGAAAACTTCAGATCCACCGAACTCAACTCAACTGGTGCTTATCAGTTTAATCTTGAATTTCTTGTACTTTGGTACATCAGTGCTAAATGCTCACAGTGACAATGCTAGCATGCTGACCATGTTCATCATTGTAGTTTAGCGTGTTAGCATGATAACATTGGGCAATAATTAGCACTTAACACAAAGTTAGGGAAGCTGGTGAGAGTCATTAGTGTTTTAAATATCAGACAAATGTAACATTTTGACCTGATGATGGCCAGCAATTCATCCTAAGGGGGAGAAGCCTGTAGCATGGGTAAGAAACAGTATTTTGGTTAATCAGATCTGCATTCAATTATTGACTTTTTTTAGTTTTTGTATTAAAAAAACAAACTACTCTTTAAAAGCAGAAAATCTGAGTACACAGATGTCATAGTGGGCAAGATGAGCGGCCCCCTCAGCCAATCTGATGCAAGTCGAGCTGGGGCTTTAACTGAATTCAGTTTTCCAGTTTTCTATTATTGACTGTGGAAATGCAAAATGAAACTGATAAGCCTGAACATGGACTTTTTAGCATGAAGTTCATGGTGAACTGAAATCCTGAAGAAGACAAAACTGTCCCGGTCAATGTAGAAAAACATGTGTATCAGCAAAAGACTGAGATGTTGCAGTTTAATTCATTCCAAAAGCTGGTTTTCCATGAACTGTCGAGTTCACAGCTGCTGAAGGCCTCAAACATACACACATTTAAAAACCTTTTTCCTGTAGAAATCCTGAGGGTCAGGCTGAGAATACACAACCTCCTGTAGGAGCCAGAAGAATACGAATTTTAGACTCTGTCAGTGGCTGAGCAGCCTGAGACGAGCCAGCCAGCCTCCGAGCAGCGACGTCGACTGCTTGGTCACAGCCAGAGGAGGAGAAACAGCAGCAGAGGTGGAGGCGGCAGACTTTTTGGACGCTGCTTCCTGGTAAGGGATGGTCGCGCTGTTGTGCAGGTCGGCATTGATGAAGCACTGGCTGCCTCTGATGTGGTCGACACCGCGGACAGACGGGTGTCCTCGGTACGGCAGAGGGTAACATGGCTCCTCCTCTGTGATGGTGCTGATTCCCTCGTTACTCAGATACCTGTGCAGAACGTCCTGCCCTGTTCAGGAGACAAGACGGGAGGAATGAGTTACGAGTCTGTAGAAGCTGGAGCAATGCCTGTGTCCCGTTTTTTAAGTAAATCTATAAATATCAGAGGATCTCCTGGTTTAAAACCCTTAGTAGTAACTTTTCATCATTTTGTCTTGATTCTGGCGGCCCCTGTGGACAAAAGTGGCAGTGTTTCCACCGGCTCGTTTAAACTGATTTCAAAGGGAATTCAACTAAATCGACCCGGTGGCAGTGATTAAGAATAACTATATAGAAATAGCCAATTTTCTCACTGATGGTCTTTATTCTCTTTATTTATTTATTATACACAGTACAGTAAAGTACAGTCCAGTGCAATAAATTATTGTGTTGTAATGCCCTCAAAATCCTCTTGTGCTCACAGTTGATAATTTAAAACATTAACAGTGAGCTGAGAGGAAAAGTAAGATATTAAAGATGCTTTTGGGCACTTGTGTGTATAAAAAACTAAAAAAATAAATAAAATAAACTACAGTGTAATCCGTTAACGCACAACTATAATCCCCCTTTAATTTTTTCTTCTTTCTTCTTTCTCTTGGAACAACGAATGAGAATCAATTTGCAAAACCATTTGCGTGAGATAATTATATATAGATAATATTATTTTATCTCCTTTTTTTGGCATTTTCTAACACTTTAGCATGAATCAGGTCACTCAGTTTGTTTATAGATCATGTGACTTGATTCCAGAAACTACTGGAAGAAAACAATTTATGATACAAAATAATAATATTGCTACTAAGTACTAAAAAAAGAAGTTACTAGACGCAGACCGACAGTGAGTCAGTGGTTTTAGGATGACTGTTTTAAAAGTGATGTCACATGTAAACACAACACAGCTGCCAGTGTGTCGAGTTATTTCTATTGTTAGTCTTGCTTTAAGAGTCAGCGGAAAACGGCCCAACTCCTAATGTGTCTTTGTTTAACTGCTCCATCCATTAACAGCCTGCTATCTTGGATAAACTGCCAACACACACACACATCCACACAGTTCGTTCCTCAAGGTGAAGTGCTTTAGGAACCAGACTGAACTGCGACTGAAATCAGCTCCGTCGATGCAGCTGCAGCTCTCAGGGTTAATAAGTGACGAGGTAAAAATTCAAAGCACGCAGCCCGTCCCGCCGTTTGTCCTCAGATGTTAATGAGGCAGACATACGGCCATCGCTGATAACCGTTAGATTACAGGCGCTCAGCTGCGTCTTATTCAGCCGTGTAAGTGGAGTTTACCTTTCCTTCCCTTAGCGCCAGGCCTGGAGGACGGGTCGGACACACCGGAAAACGACTCCACCGGCATGGAGACAGGTCGAGGTTTACCTGCAAATCATGCAGATACAACAAAAGTTAAAGACCTGCAGTGAAATATATATTATCGTGGAATGTAGATAAATATAATATGATATATTTCATCTTCTGTTTGTGTGATTATTCGTGTTTCTTCTAACTCATGATACATCTCCTCTGCTCCCATGAACAGCTGCAGTAGCCACAGGGACCAATAAAGTCTTTTTTTATCTTATCTTGTCAACCGCCGACATTTTGTAGTCATTCAGACTTTAGATTTAATGATTTGCATGCTTGGATTCAAAGGAATATTTAAACGTTTTGGGAAATACACTTACTTGCTTTCTTGCAGAGATTTAGATAAGAATACAGATACCACTCTAATGTCTGTACAGTAAACATGAAGCTACAGCCAGCAGCCAGTTAACTTAGCTTAGAACAAAGACTGGAAACAGGAAGAAAACAGTTAGCCTTGCTCTGTCTTACAGAAGTATCAAAATACACCTACCAGCAACTCTAAAGCTCACTAATTAGCATGTTTTATCTCATTTAATGTACCAAAACTAAAGTGCAAAAACAACTGTGTGGTTTTATGGGTGGTTGTATATGCTGTAACATCCTGGACTTGTGTCATCACCCTGAGGTTGTCATGCAACCAGTGGAGACACAATAATGCAGCACATAATCTCTTAAAACCACAACTTGACATTTTTATACTCCGCTTTTTGTCTTTGTGCTGAGCTAAGATAACTGTCTGCTGGCTGTAGCTTCATATTTAGTGTGCAGACATATTGCTATCAATCTTCACATCTAACTCTCAACAAGAAGCAAACAAGAGTGTTTCCCAAAACTTAAACAAGAATTAACCAACATGAATCAACCTTGAGGACAGAACTAATGTTGGGTCACTTGACATGCAGATGGTCACAGGAGCTTGGAAAAGGCTGTTAAAGAGTCAAGTCTTAGCATTAGGTGAAAGCTGAGTATGTGTGTCTGTACACTCACAGCGTGTGGAGGAGCGCTGTCTAAGGCATACAGGTTTTGGTTGGTTGACTTCAGGTGGGGGGCCGATGGACGTCCTGTTGTCGTCGGCAACAGTGAAGCGTCGCCGCACATCTGCGTCCAGGCACGAGTTCGGAGACTTCGGCCTCATTTTCACACCTGGAGACACGTTCATATTCGCGTCTCTTCAGAGAGGAACAGAGCAGGAGGAGAAAGATGATTGAGATTTAATGCTACATATTTACTGAACCCCTGCAGCACTTCTTCGCCATCCCCAAAAAGGAATCATTTGTTATTACCAGGATTATAATACTGTAAATAGTGTGGATCTGCACAATAAAGGATAAATGAATCAGCCTGGTACTCACAGTGGCACGTAAGGGGCTGAAGGGGGAGGAGGGACATACAAATCCAGTATGGCTGCCTTCCCCCTCTTCCCAGGAGCGTCTGAGGTTTCTGGCTGTCGAGATCTGTAGAGACCTGGAGCTCCCTGAGAGGTCTAGACACAACAAGAGAAAGAGACATGATTACTGGTATTACTACTGCTGTTAGATTAAAACAATTATTAAAAATGAATACTTAAATTTGGAAACAAAAGAATTTCCTGTTGTAACTTCTGTTCATCTGTCTTTAGGTCAGGCTTTTAACAACATTTCTGTCACACAGCAGCCAGCAAAGGAGGTAATGATTCATTCAATGGTGTTTATCATAAAACAACAGTGAGACGTTCCAGCTCGAGAGGAGAAACAGCAGACGAAGCTCTTCTGTTTCCTTCCTCACCTCCAAAGCTTCTGTATTTCCATAAACACAGGAACTTCACTCAGCTCCTTTTCTGCTTTGTCTGCGTTGCGAAACTACGTCTGAAAGAGTTTAAGACGCAGACAGAAACACACGTTCCTCTGCTGATTAAAGATCATATATTATCATATCTTCGCCCTCTGTGCCGTAGAGCAACACATCAACATCAACACATCGATGAGCCACACTGTTGAACGGGGTGACATGCTCCGTCATTACCATCTGATTGTAAAAAAAGAGTTCTCAGAGAACAGGTTATGTCTTTTTTGTTCATTATATGTTATGTTTGTTATGCTCAAACATATTCATATTTGCTCAATAAACATCTTAAATGATTCACAAATAACCATAATTGTTGTTTAATGTTCAGTCAATTGATCCATTAATTAATACTATTAAGGGTAATCTTAATATAGTTGTTTTAGCAGTTGTCATATTTGACATTTTACAGACTAAATGATTAATTAAAATGTGTTTTCTGATTACTCAACAGTCAAAATAACCATTATTTTCATCAAAATGATCATTTACTTTAGACTGGAAGGTGATGATCAGGCTGAGTACAAGTAGAAGAAATGTAAGCGTTGATTCCTTGACCTTTGAACTGGGCAGTAGGAGTGGCGGTGAGGCAAACACCGACTGACTTCAGACCTGTTTAGATAACCTAGATTAGAGACTGAACACATCAACCGGGCTGCCAAGGGGTATAGAAGACGCCTATCTTCCCAAAACACACACATCCTGGACCTCCATCAACACAAAAACCCCTAAAGGCGGTTTGGTGAATTCATAATTGTCACATTGTGGAGAAACAAATGAGTCAACTTCCAAAGATGTCTGACATCATCAGCACAGCCTGATGTTTGGAGCGCTGCCTATCCCCTTTTTTTTCAGGAAAAGAAGGAAGAAAGGATCCATTGTTCAGCCACACACCTCAGCAGAGCAGCAGACTGGGTGGCTGCTGTGCTTTCTGGTTGGATTCTTCACAAACAAAAATAGCTTCACTAAAAGCTACGACGACAGACGGAGAACGCACCAGAGGGAGTGCTTTATTTACCTGAGGGAGGGTTACTGAAACAGTCTGCTTCACTTTCATACAGTGACATGTAGTCCCACCTGAGAGCTTCCTGAAACAACAGCTGCTGGGGGTTCAGTGCTACCTGGGCAGTCACTTTCCCAGAATTCAGGATTTTTTGTATCCCTTCTCCTCTTTCTACTACCACACTGCATGAGCATCCTGGCAGACTGTTAAAGCTGCATTAAACTCCACAACTAACTAACATCACAACACATTTGGCATCTTAGCATACAGTTCCCATACAGCATCTACAGAACAACAGCCACAGAGCAACATTATCATTCATTGGGAGTCATGTTTTTGTCCATCTCATATGTCAATCCAATATTCACTCTCTTTTAGCTCTGGTTTTGGTCTCCGCCAACTCCTGAGGAAAAATATCATATCTTTAGCTGCTAAATGCTCCATTATGTTCACCAGCTAATGTCTGACAGTGCTGAGCTCGTATTTTGGTTTTAAGAGCTTGTTTGCTGAGAACGAGGTTAATGAGAGCAGTGAGACTGAGACAGTAAAGTTACTGTAAAACCGAAAGAACGAGTTGGAAGACACTAAAAAGCCCCAAAGAAAGAAAGAAAACATTCCAATGCCTCTGAGCAGCTTTGGACAACAGAAACTTAAGTGTTGGCTGACAACCAAGACTCGGTTCCTCAATTTTGCCGCTTGAACCCTGGAAACAGGCTGTGAAGTGTGAAGTAGAAACTACGGTGGCTGTGAAACTTCAAAATGATGGTAAAAAAAGATTGAGGGAAGAAAAGAAGAAGTCAACAGAAAGAAGAACAAGAAGTAACTACAGTGCCCCTGTAGCTGGTTGGATTTCAGTGTTTTGCTCAAAGGCACTAAGGCAGGGTCGATGTTTAAACCTGCTGCACTGACGGGCTGTCGGGGGCAGCTCACCTGTACGCGCGGTGGTCTCCAGCGCAGGTTTTTCAGCGGAGCGGGTGCAAAGCCACCGGATGTTCCAGACGGCCTCTTCTTCACCACCATGACTACGCCTCCAGACTCTGCCCTCAGCTTCTCCACCAGGTGCTTCAACTGCCAGCCCACCTGGACCAATCACAGAGCAGAACTCAGTAAGGAACACTGCAGCCTGTAGAGGGTGCTAGCAGGAATTTAAACTTTATTACGATTCATTACTGATAAATGTCCTGGCCGTAGCTTCATATTTAGCATAGAAACATGAGTGGTTTTGATTGTCTGAGGACAAATGAGGAACTTTTTCTTTAAAAGGACGGACTTTTGACTCACCACTGTCTGTTTGTTGACCTGAACGACTTCATCTCCAGCATGAATCCTCTTTGTTTTATCTGCAGGAGACTGAAGAGCAGAATCTCATTAGAAGGTTTAGAGACTGATCAAAAACAACATAGCTTCCAGCATGAGTCACTCAACACACTAACATCTCTTTAATTTTACACGTGTTACAACCTGAGAACCGATCTGAGTCTGTAAGTGTCACAAAAAACAAACTGGGAATTTGTTTACATTGCTTTCAGGACCAGAGCTAGACTAAATGTCTGGAAACACAGCAGTTGTGATAAAGAACCAGCAGCACACTCACATTCTCTGTTGTTCCTGTGATGACATGAAGGCCGTCGTAGGTGGATTTGATGTAAATACCCTGGAAGATTAAACACATTTGAAGTGTGTCAGTGTTGTCAGAATGTATATATGAATCTTCTATATAAAAAACCTCACGCGGTTTCTCTATATTTCCTCGCTGCAGTGGTGGTTGTGGGTTTTTTTTTTGGACCTACATCTGTTTCTGTTTTCGACTTGCTGCCTTGCTGATTGTGGTTCATGGTGCAGCACTAAAATACCTGTTAGTGTTTCTCAGGGGAAGTTGGGTTGAATTGGGGGTTTTTCTTTTTACAGAACTCGGTGCTTATGTGACAGTGATGTCCTGCTGATATGGTCTGAATGTAAAATGACGATGTCTGTCCTGTAACTGTATTCTGTCCAGTTGTTTATGCTGTTTATCATATATGCTGAGCTCACCAGTCCCTCCCCAGGCTTGACGTTGGTGATGTGCACCTCCTCCAGACAGGCCATCTCACTCTTTAAGGGGTCAGAGGTCGCCTGGACTGTTTTCTCGCAGATGCCGTTCAGAGCTCGGGACTAAAACACACACAAGAAAATATAAAAACAACAGTTTAATTCCCAAAATAAGAATACAAATAAATCAATACAGTAGAGCTTGAACAAGCTGACTGACAGTAAATTAATCTGCATTTATTTTGATAACGGATTAATTATTTAGGTCATTATTTCATGCAATAATACCAAATATTTCATAGTACCGGGTTGTTAAATTTGAGAATTTGCTACTTTTATTGTAGTGTAAATTATTAATTATATTTAGATCAAGAAAAACAAGCAATTTCAAAGACGTCACCTTCGGCTGTAGTGACATTTTTCACACTTTCTCACACTAAACGATTAATCAATTAATCAAAATAATCTGCAGATATATGACATAACGTGAATAACACTCATCAAACAGACTCAATAATACTCATGATGAGGTGGTGAAATCAGTTATGTTATTTTTTAGGATAGAAATACATCAGTCTAAACCTTTCATTTGGCTTCTATATGTACTAAAACTCTGCCCTCTTAGGGCTGCAACTAACGATTATTTTCATTATCAATCAATCTGTCGATCATTTTCTCCATTATTTGATTAGTTCTTTGGACCATAAAATGTCAGAAAATTGTGAAAAATATTCACGTGTCCTAAAGCCCAAGAAGACATTTTCAAATGTCTTAGTTTTTCCACAGTCCAAACATATTCAGTTTTCTTAAGAATACAGAAAATATTCAAGTTTGAGAAGATGAATTCAGAGAATTTGGAATAATTTTCTTCAAGAAAATAACTCAAAATAATAAATTGATAATTAATTTAATAGTTGACAAGTAATCGATGAATCAACTAATACTAAAACTAATATAACACAGTCAGCGTTACATATCAAACTATATAAACTGAAGATTTCAGTTTAGATTGATTTATCAAAGAGAGGAAGTCCTCAGCAGCATGGTGGTCTCATGCCAGTATCCGTTCTGATGAGTCTAAAACGCTGAATCACTACCTGCTGCGACAGCACTAAAGCTGTCTGTCCCTGCCCTCTGACCTCTCTGCGGGAAGGGAAAAGAAAGAAATAGACTGATGAAGCCCTCAGAGATCAGAGCCGTGTCACATCATAAAAGTTCCATGTGTTGCAGTGCTGTAGTTGTTGGTTTTGTTGAACAACAGACAGGAGGATCTTCCAGGAGCCTGAGGCCTACACAAACCGAACACAGCCTCAGATTATCATTATACTGACTAGACACTGAAGCGGTCCTGAGGCACAGCAGGGGGTCTGAGGTCATGGGAAGCAGGGAGGTGATCAGGAAAACACCAACCGGCAGGAAATTACAAGTAAACCAGAAAAACATGCTCGTCAGGAGAGTTCATTCTTTCTTTGTCTTTTGATTTGTTTGTTATATAAATTTACATGCTCGTGTCTGGGGTGGAGAACAGTCTGATTACTTTGATTTTTTTTCACATTTTGTATACACACAAAACTGCCTGGCTTGCAAAACCTTAGATCTCACTGTGTGGGGTTTTGTTGTCAGGGCTCTTGCTACTTTATCTGTCTTTGCAGTGTTTCCCTCTTTGTCACCTGGACAAACAAACTGAACCAAAGCCTTCCACTGAGTAACTGAGCCACTTACAATGCTGTTAGTTAGGAGTAAGAAATAATACAAAAACAGGATGGACAACAAAAATATTGGGGAGTTTAACAAAGATTGCATAAATGAAAGGGTTGTCTGCCAAGAGATCCACTGATTCGCTTTCTTGCCGAAAGATAGATGAGAAGATTGATACCACTCTCATGTCGCAACAGTAAATATGAAGCTGGAGCCAGGAGATGGTTAATGTAGCTTAGCANNCGCAATAATTTACAATGTTATGTCCCATTTGTTGATTGAGGCAACTCAACTAAAACTTGAGGTCTCATTAAACTGATAGTCCAGAGGGAAAGTGATTTCAGTATTCTGGGAACAACAGAACAACCAACAGGAAGTGTTATCTAAGACAGGAAGTGAATTGTCCTGAGCTGAATAAACAAACCTGCAGATTCTGTCACACACACACACACTGAACACCATGGAGCCCTCAGGTACAAGACAGGAAAAGGAAATGTGCGTTCCAGTGTGTGTGTGTGTGTGTGGTGTGTGTGTGTGTGGTGTGTGGTGTGTTGGGTGGTGTGTGTATGTGTGCGCTTCCGATTAGCATCTCCAAACATCCAAACCAGAGGAAAAAGGAGAAGCAGTACTCACCACTTCCAGAATCTTCTCCTCAATTTCATAAACAGTACAGTCCTGCAATTAAAGAGACAGAGAGACTGAATGATGGATGCACACACTTTAATCCTAAAAACATCCAAACATCTGCATTTTTATCAAGAGAAGAGAGCAATTCTGCCTTTGAAATTAGGAGACTCCCATTTTAAACCACCAGTTTTAGTTCAGGTGGAAAACAGGTGTATTTATAGTAACATTATTATTGTTATGTTATTTATATCTAGATCTTGTCTCTGATTCTGTGCTTTTATTTTGAAGAGGAATAGGGCAATGTACAGAAATAGATGATGAGACTCTGAGGGCAGCAAATAAACCATGAAAATGAGGAAAAGAGAGTTGCATGATTAAACTCTCTGACCCCACAGACTCTTTACTGGTTTCCTCTTTTCTGCACAGGCAAACAGAACTTTATTTTAGATTTAAGTCAACAACATAAGATACCAAATGTGCCAGACTGAATGAAATGTACATACATGCAGATCTGTCGTGACCAAAGAGATCACATCCTCTAATATTTCTGGGAATCTGAGGGGTTTCCTTACATTAAGTGGAGTCTACAGTCTCATATTACATAAGTTGTGTCTTTTAGACTAAATAATTACAGATTTATAGGAGGGATTTCAGGGGAAAAAAGTCCAAATTAAAGGTATTTTGGTATTCTCCATTTGAGTTATGTTAGTGTACAACATTTAGACACTAATGTAGGGAGATAAAAATATAATGAAACAGTTCAAATGCTTATGACCTCTGTATCTCTAAAATCTGGGCCTATTCTGAACAAATTATTTTCGGAAGCATACATGAAAAAAACATCGGAAAGTTTTTATCTGATGTGATGTTGCAGCCTCTCATGTATTACAACTCGAGTCACAAAGCTGAATCCAGTAAGTCATTTAACAACACGTAACTTGTTCTTACCATTTGGATAAAATAATATTCTGCTGCATGATAGGAAAGATGTTTTACTTGTTTCCCAAGTTGTGACTCCAAAAATGATGGCAGCCAGAAGTGACATATGTTTTTTTAAACTTTTGAAAGCTCCCTCCAGAGCCACAGGAGACAATATACATGTTGTCACAAGCTGAGCAGCACGACCCATGACAAGTAAACTGTGCTGCAGGAGTAAAATCTGTGAGCCTCTGGAATATTTTATAACCCAGATGGTTCTGATAGCTTACATGAGAGGCACAAACTGGGATAGGAGCAGATTTAGATTATTCAAAATGTTACTCAATATAAAGCATTATATGTACTGTAGCTTTAATGAAAAACAAGGTACAAGAGCATGTAAAATAGACTGTGGGTCTGGAAAACGGTATTTTAAGGGGAATTTAAAGGGAATAACAGGAACATAAGAGTTTATCAATTTACAGACACTAGAAACAAACAAAACATCTTCTAAAAAAGGTAAAATTTTGAGCCCCATCATATCAAATGAGACAGCTTTCCTTTTCAGAAGTCTGTCTGTGTTAAGAACTGCAATGTGGGTAAACAGAGATGGGATGGGAGAGAAAGAAAAGAAAAAAAGGAATCAGCGGGAAAACAAATATTTGAGAAATGACAGCCTACAGGAGAGTGAAACCAGAGGGAGGGACCGCAAACGCCTCCCAGAGACACAGAGGATTCCTCCTGTGGTCGGTGAAATAACAGCTCCCTGCAAGCAGGCTGACAGGATGATTGCATGACAGCGCGGCGGGGTGACGCCTCTGCGCTGCACAACACTTTACAGTCACATGTGGGGAGGTGACGTGCTGCAAAAAACATCCAACTGCAACTTCAACTGTGAATCCTAAGACCTACTTTCCAAATCTCACCTGTGCATTTTTTGTTAGGAACTTTTCTGTTTTGTTAGGACTTTCTTTTTCTTTCTGGAGTCATCTGCCAAATATTTTAAGGTTTTTTTTTTTGTGTGTGTCATAAAACACAAAACTGAATTTTGATTGGTAAAATAATCACACCTCGCCACTACATGACTTGTGAAGCCGACAATGTGACTACGAGGGTTTACCTGCTGTAGAAAAGACAAAGTTTGCTCTGATTGTGTAGAGCAGCCACGCAGGGTGTTTTTTGTGTGATCAGTGTTGCTGACTGACACGTCACATTTGGTTGACTGATTTACAATAACTGTGGATCCAACTCAGAAGTCAAAAACAAGAAGCAGCAGCAAGAAAACACACAGGCTCAACACGTCTGACAACGTCTGAAGATGGATGACTTATTTTTGACTTGTTTATCTCCTTCCATTGTTGAGCAACTAAGTGATCAAATAAATTTGTGAATCATTTGATGCTGTCTGTTCCACAAAAGCCTCAGTATGTGTTTTCATTCACACCTGTGCTTATATCAAATGAATTTAGGGCCTGGACGTGATATAACATTTCCCACTGCCCTTGAACTTGTTCTGTCTCAATTTTAATTTACAGTTGAAATCTAAAGATTAAGAAGTTACAACGTAAAATCTCTCTCTTGTTCTTGCTTGTTTTGGTAAAACTGATATCTGAAATCATCAAAAGGACTTTGTACATGTAAACAGAGGTTATCAGGTTCATCATCAAAGCCTGAAAATAAATATTCCCACAGGGTCAAAACATGAGACGTTTGACTTCAGTTCATGACCTTCTTTCTTTCTCTGATGTCCCTTTAACACAAGCAGCTTCACACAGAAAACATCATTCCTCTCATTCAGCATCAGAATCAGATATGATGTTTCAAAAAAGTCAATTTCATGAAATCGAGCAGAGCGCGACAAGAGGGAAGAGCCTCACTGACCTTCTGCACGGTGGAAGTGAGCTCCAGACACAGCTGGATGATTCTGCTCTTGGTGGAGGTGAAGTCGTTGGCGCTCGTCAGAGGAGTCCTGGAAAGACAGAATTGGCTGCTGTGAAAAAGGTCTATTAAAGTTCTACAAAGTACAAGCATCCTGTGACAGCACTAGTAGAGGATTGTAGACAGATTTGAACTGGTGATGAACTGGTTGCAGTTCATGGTCAAGGTCTTAACCCCTGGGCCACAGCAGCGCCCTGCTCCTCTATCTATATTAGGAAAGATCAGTGGATGAATCACTCAGGCAAACTGGTATCTCACTTTTAGTTTAATCAACATTTAATGAGACTCCCACAAAAAAAACCTGCAGTGCGTTCTCAGTCACCAGAAGCTGATAACAGAATCTTTAAGTTATTGTCATTAATCATTTCTGACATTTACAAATGTTGAAAGCTTAAACTAATTAGACACTTAATGAGTTCGTTTCAATACTTGATTCCGATTCAATAAAAACTCTATTGAACCTTAGCTCAAGGTGTTTGTGGGTGAGAGATCTGACACACGACAGCTGTCAGGTGTGTTATGAGCGTCAGTGCAGCAACTTGTCAGAGTTTGTGTGTAACAGCTGCAGTGAGCTGGAATGTTCTTCAAGCCGATACAAGCTGAGAAAAAAGCTGAAGGAGTCAAAGAGCAGACAGAGAGACGCACTGACAGCTGACAGATATCATACATGTTAACAAGGACCAGCACTAATAACTGTGTGTGAGACAGTGAGAGTGTATAAGAGGGGGATTCTTAACACTCTTTTGTTTTTCTCTTACACCCCTTGGGTCCCATACAACTCTCACAGGCCATTCAGATTACACAGATCTGGTATTTTCTACAGAAACTAAGTAAACATTTCATTGACACATTTTGACATTTATTGTTGTTGAGATGTCTTTTGGGGCTTTTGTAAATGTCACCAGCACAATCAATCATCAATCAATATATGTAGGCCTGGGATCTTAAGAACACTCTGTAATGTTTAATACAAAATACGCCCCCATAACAATATACAACAACAAAGTTTCTCTTAAAGTTTAACCACAGAGCTGACAAAACAATTCCTGAATATTTATCATTATTATCTTATTTATTCTTTTCAAACTTGCAATGTCATTTTAATTCCATGTCACTGTATACACGTTTATTCAATAAATATTATTACGACAATATTACATATTTTAGATATTAGCCAGCCTGGTGAATTAAAGGATATTAAAGGAATAGCTCGACATTTTACATTTTGGGAAATATGTTTTAGTTTTTTTTTTTCTGATCAAAAGAACACTTGAATGTCTGTGTGCTAAATATGAAGCTACAGACGGTCACCTATCTCAGCTTCAAACCACAGAGTCTCATTTTTACACTTCAGCTTTTGTAAAGATTAAACTAACAAACTGTATTTCCACATTTCCAGACTTTGTGTTAAGCTAAGCTAAGCAGCTACTGCCTGTAGCTTCATATTTATCATGAGATTGCTATCGGTAATGAAACTGGTTGTCTTGAACAGTTGTTAATTAAATCCACAAGTTCATATGATCAAAATATGAGATCAGAGTTAAATGACTGCACATGAAGGTGAAACTTGACAAGAAAACAGAAGGAGTCATGTACTAACCTGTATCACGTGTGTCTTTGACAGTTATTGACTGACACATTTATTAATATTAAATTATACCGTTTCCAGTGCAGTGGTGTATGAGAGAGAGAATGTTTAGTTTGTACAGTATGGTGTGTATGTACTGAATGTGTCTCTATCTACCTGTCCAGCCAGGCCAGCAGACTCTTGGCGGCTCCGATCAGCTCAACCACAGCAGTCAGGAATTCGTTGGAGGGCTGATGGGAGATTTTGCTGTGGTAAGCGGGGTTCTTCCTGCGCTGTGTCACCGCGCTGCTCAGGCTGTGGTGCGCCGCTCTCATCTTCCCCACCAGAGTCTTCAGGTTGTCCGACTCCACACCATAGTTCTGTCCAAGAATTTAAAGAACATGGTTCAAACACAAAAATGACCCAGCTTACATTTTAAACATCAATATATAGAAATCTTATATGTTAAAGCTGCAGTGTGGATTATTAGTAGCTATTTCCTTAGATCTCTATCTTGTACCAGTGGTGTTGTAAGTGCTCCTGTATCTCCAAATTCCATATTTCCCATCAGCCTTGTTCACCACTACCATCCAGCAGATTCACCTCTAAATCTGATCCGTATATATCACATGTCAAACATGGATTCACGCATTCATTTCAAGCAAATAAAAAGACTATTGTGATATAAAAGAAGCAGAACATTAGGTCAGCTGTGGAGAGTTTGAGTTTTCTTCAGAACTTTTAAAACTATCTAAACCATCTCAAAGGACAGTTGTCAAATATATCCACAAACTATTCTATTCATTTTATTGGCTTTGTCTTTTTGTTTTTTGTGTCAAGCACTTTCAGCAGCATTCATTATACAAATTGTGTGCTATATAAATAAATTGATCACATTTTTGTGCATTATCTGCATGTACAATTTTGTTAATGTTAAAATTATTCATTGTATTGATACTGATTTTAGAACCTTTAAAAGTTGGAATTAGACGCAGAGAACCGACAATCCTTGGGTAAAGAAAACACAAACCGTCACATCATACGCATCAATGATGGCAAGAGATTCTCATGACCCCTGATCCCCACACCCCTAACCAAAACACACACACACACACATTCCTACAGACCAGTCACCATGACGATGATCTGACCAAAAAAAATATTCCAAGCCACGTCAATCTCGCTCAAACTAAATCCAAACTCAAGGCAAGCCAGTGAGACAACTGTGATCATAATCAGTAATGCCGATCAATAAAAACAAACGTTCGATAAGGACTATCTGGTAACCATGGTGACAAACTAACAAAAACAAAGTTGGTTCATTTGTTAAAACAAGAGTCAGAGTAAATAAAGCTGCTGCTGGAACATCCCATGCTTTCCTAAAGAGCTGCTCATATGAATCAATCTGTTAATCAATGCAATCACCCAAACAGTGGGTAAACATAGCAACTGTACACAAGACGTGTCACAGCACACAACATGTGAAGTCATTATGTTTGCACCCGGACACATTTTTCAATCAGTTTTGTTTGGATGAGTTTTCCAAACTTATCAATAGCTGCAGAAGATACTGTAGAAAGATAATGACTGACTACTTTGTCCTCACAGATCTGTAATGTATTCTGTCAGCTGACACGTGAACACGCTGGCTCGCCTGAGGCAGTTCATGTGTTGGAGGCGTTGTGACGCTCAGAGCCGGTGAAAACATCTGCAGCCAAAAACTGACATTTCACCTGTCGACTGACTGCACTGCAAAAAATTAAAAAAACATGACACCTGACAGAGAGCTGAAATCCTGTTTCAGGTCAATGTTCAAATCATGTTAGAAGTAAAACAATCTCAACCTGACAGCAGCAGATATGTCAATCAGAAAAGAGCTCTAAAGTGAAGTTAGACCTTTGTTGGAGTGAGACAGGCAGTATCAGTCTGTTAATCTGACTAAACTCACATGTGAGTCTTGCTTCGGTGAAACAAAACATTCAAATGAACATTTAAAAGCTTTTGTATTGAAAAAACTGAAGCAGCTGAATAGAAACTCCAAAGCCCTACAGCTGCAACTACCGATCAACAATAAATTTGATGACCATGGTGGAAAAACGATTGTTTGTCACATTTGAACACTCATTAAAGGGTAATTACACCCCAGAAATGTTGTTTGCGCAGTAAACAATTTATTACTCGTCACAAATAGATGAAACAATACTTGTCGGTTAAGCACATACTAGAAGTATTTACCTAAAAAACAACACTAATTTGCCACATTAAGTATAAAACAAGTAAAACCTGCTAATTCTGAAATCCTTATCCGTAGGGCTGCAAACGACCATAGTTATTAAGATAAATGTGATCATTATATTCCCGATTGATTGAGTAATCAATCTCAAACAATTATTAAGTTATCGGCCTCAATTTTACCTTTAATTATTATGTTCATTGACTCAAATAATAAACTTGTGTTTGGGAGGTGAAAGAAAAAAAGAGAAAGTGTTTCCTGCTCCACTGAATGAATCTCAGATGGAAAACTGATCATCTGACAGCCAACGGAAACTGCTGCTGGAACAAAAGTGGAATGGCTCTTCCTCTGCATGCTGCACACTGTGTATGAGTGTATGTGTGTGTGTCAGGGGAAGGGTGGGGGGTCTTTCTGACAGGTGGGAGGGGTCACATCTGTTTCCTGCTCCACACCAGACAGCAGTAAACTCAGCTTTGTGCTGCAGAAAATATCCACAACACATTACTTGACCTTCAATCCAGTCTTACAGGAAAACTCTCCCTAAAACACTCGAGCTGCTGCTGATGTGGGATCTATTCATGACTCTGTTTAGCCGTTTTTAGTGCATCTCTCTTCAGTGTGATCTTTAGTTTTACAGAGGAAATTAAAGAAAATATTTCAGGCATCAAAAACAGCAACAGTAAGTGCCCTTTGGGCAGGGCCAGGGGGTGTGAACTCCCTCCAACTGCTTGTTGTCTCAAGTTCTGTAGTTGGGTCTCATAATGACACTGTCGGAAGTTCCATTCGCAGAGGAAGGCTGTGGAACGTGGTTTAAAAAACTGGAAAAAGTTAGCAAGTGAACCGTAATATTTTGTCACAGGAGAGTAAATGTCAGGTTTTCCTCTTGCTGGAGTCAGGAGTCTACGAGCACCAGCCAAGTCTCCTTCACGACACTCATCCCAACCGGTGTGGGACACTGCCCGGCTTTGTTGAACTGGTGTTTCAATGAAAATGAATTTAATGAGAGCGACATTTCAACGTCATTTAACCAGCTTTTACAAAAGAGAGTGAACGAATAAAGAGAGAAAAAAGGAACGAGAGAGAGAGAGCTGTGTATAAACAGAAGTAGAAAGGTGAAACTGAAACTTAAAGGCCCTGAAAAAAGTTATTTTTAAATACCATAAATATTCACTAAATATGTAACTAACAATCAGAGTTAAAGTTTAAGTCACAGTTAAAAAAGCAAATACAGAAATCTCTCATGTGAAATAAATCAAGACCAAAACTGGTAACTTCGTCATAAAATACCGACAGTCACTAAAATGAGTTTGACAGGGTCTTAAATATTTAGACTATTTGGTTGGTTTCGATGTTCTACCCTTCTCTGCCTGGGTTTTCTTTGTGTCTTGTGTCCTATGGTTTCCTCACACGGTACACAGACAGATAAACTGCTATCTATCCTGAACAAACCCAAGTGTTTTGGGAGAAAAAGACAAATGGAAGTAAAATTGAATGTGTGGTCTGCGGCTTAATGAAACTGGTTAAAGGAACTGTGGACCAGTTGGAAACCACTGACCTAAACTGGAGTTCAGAACTGGAGGAGATGTTACTTTCGCATACAGTAAAAACCAGAGGACAGTTAGCTGAGTGTCATTATTTTATTTCCAACAAGCTGAGTCATATCAAACTGAAACTTATCTCACCCCAATAGCTCATTTTTCACTGACTGATTAAATTAAGCTTCTTAGACGAATCCCACACTGCAAAAAAATGTTCCTCCAAACCATCATTCCAATGCACTTTTAGGGATACAATCATCTTCATATACTGAAGTAATATCAATATGCTTATAAGAAGACGAATAGAGGATATACGAAGATTAACCAAGCTTCAATAACACAACTTCAAACAGTAGTAGAAGTTATCGTGTCTGATAACTGTTTCATTGGCAGAGGTTTGTCATTTGTCAGCAGGGACAGCAGAGTGTCAGGCTCTGGATGCTATTCAGTTGGGTTCCACAATAAACCTCAGCACTGACTGTAAATCCTCCTTTTCACTGGGACACAGACAGTCGGGGCTCATAAACAGCTGACTGAGGGGTTCTGTCTGCAGTCCAACACTTTAACTGGTTCAGACACAAGAACTTTGTTGTTTGGCTTCAGCTGGGGTCAAACACTGTATCTTAACATAAACATTTTATGAACATGAAGGCCTTTTGTGAGCTTACTCACTTTTTAATAAGTGTAAATAATATTTATTATGGCAAAATATAGTAATTCCACAGTGGACTGCAATCTAAAATGTGGTTATTAATTTCTAATTGTATTTTAAAACAATCTGTGATAGACTTGCAGTGTTAGGAAATCTAGTTGGTTTTCTAGTCTTGTACAGTTCTTCACATGAAATAAATCAAACTGTATTGAAAACACATGTAAGTTGGGAGAAAAACATTTTAAAAGCACATTTCTTTAGTGCAAGGACAATTTCTAAGAAGTGTTCTTTCTGAAAATCTGCAGAAACCTTTTTTTTTTTTTTACAGTGTAGAAGTATTAAACCCAGCAGTGTGGGCGTGTTGCCAGATCTGATAAAGATTTAACAGTGCATTTTATTTACATCAGCACATTCTCTGGCATGAGAGCCAGACTCAGTTTGAACCACAGCTATCAAATCATGTGATGGACATGAAGCAACTTCAACATATTCACACAGAAAATATGATGTTACCCTGCAGGAGAACTTCCTTACACGTGGACAGACAAGGAGCTTGTTCTTTAAGAGAGATACTGGTGTTCTTTGATATTCTATATCAGCTTAATAACCTTAAAATCCACTGGGATTCTCACCAGGCAAAAACATCTCTGAAACATCTCTGAAACACTGAGCTACACAGGAAAAAGAGGAGAGTGTCCCTTTACTTTGCTGTAGTATAATGCGACCCAGTGTGTGAAGCTTCAAATATTTATTTGGCGTGTAACAGAACACAGATGTTCGGGTTTGATACGGGACTTAGAATGACTTCTGTCTACATCACTTGGTGAACAAAACTGAGAGAAAGCTTTGTCTTAGGTTTGTTGTTTGCTGACTTTTAGCTGAACCTCGCTAGTCAGGTGAGCCCAGCCCATACAATCATCAGTGCAGTGAACGTCAGTGAGAGGCCAGAATATCATAGCAACGCTGAACAAAGAGAAGTGGATTGGACGAAAACTATGATAGATATGTCTCTGGGTAGATTCATAGACCTATGACTTCAGATCCTTCTTCATGATCTTCATGTTTGGGAGTTTTCCTCAATATCAAAAGTAATCTGGTGATAGTTGTAGTGTTTTCATGGTAACAGCACAAACAGGAGCTGCTAATAGCTAATTCAGAGTGACTTTTCATAGTGCAAATGAACCAAAATGTGAACAAATGTATGCTAAAGAAACAGGGCGCAAGTTGTATCCCAAAGCTCACTCACTGTCTCCATGGCAACATTATACTTCCTGATCTCATCCGCTAAAGCATTATGGGAACTGTAGCTCCAAAACAGAACACAGTTATCCCAAATAGAAGTAACAAAAAAAATATGAGGGACAAAATTCATTAATATCACCTTTTTTTCTGTACCAAAACATGTGTTTGGCATTATTAAGGCTCAGAATGTCCCACTAATAACACTGTAAACACAAAGGTTTACTGTGTGACTGAGGAAAGACCCTGACATGGATGAGGTTTTACAATGATGTGACGGGTTACTGACCAGGGCGCAGAGCAGATCCACGGCCTCCAGCACCAGCTCCTGGTGTCCGACCCGCGACACACCCAGAGACAGCAGCTCCTGGTGGGACATCCTGAGCAGCTTCTCCCCGTCCACCTGCTGCTGCTGGAAGGACGGGATGTACGGCTGCAGGCTGTCATCCAAACCTAAAGGGACAGACGGAGACGTTACACATTAAGAATGAACAACAAGGACAGCGAGACTTTCACAACAACAATTCTGTGCTTTGTTTTATTACAGCGTGTATGCATGATGACAAGCCCTGTACATATGAGAGAGAGTACACGATACTAAAACAGGGTTTCCTTTCAGCAGCTGAGTTTCAGTGAAAGTCGGTTATGACCCATTCAAGTTTGACAGCAAACAGAGCTGCTGAGTCAACACCGACTTATTGACTGTTCCTGCTGATCCATCACTGACGACGGCCAACAACTAACATCGTCCTGCCACCTCATCACACCACACCTCACCTCAGGATCACTCTGGGTTTACACAGACAATCCTACCATCCTGAAAAACAGAAGGTCCCAGGTTTGACCCCATCAACGTCAACTGCAGCAGAAAAATTACGTTTCAGACCAAAATTACAGCCAAACCAAACCTTAACTGCCATCTATATGTTTCTAATTTTGTAAGCTTTAAGTAGCTCCTGTCATATACATCACGAAGTTTCCAAAACGCCCAAATTAGGATTGAATATGGAAACAAAGATTTCAGTGCTGATGAATGAAGCTGCCAGCAATCCATTAACATCAAAAGTGTCACTGTTTACATTAATAAATCCATCCTGCAGAACCAGCCGATAAGACCTGGACCGTTCTGGACCATCAGGAAACCCACCTTCAAATCCCTGTGACCTCGTGTGACCTTGAGCGAGACACCGCCAGCTCCAGCGGCGCCTCTCTGTGCCAGACCCTGAACTCTGACATCTGACCCCTCTGTGAAAGGCAGCAGCGGGGCACCAGATAAAAGAGTTCTCACCACTGGATCAATGGAGGAGCATCAACCAACATCCACCAGATACTGGCACACTTCAGTACAGACGGACAAAATGTTCAACCCGAGCAGGATTAGGGTGTGCTTGGTTTGTAATGGGCTGAAACACTAAAGAATGTGTCAGATTCAGAAAATATTTTGCTAATTTCTTTACACACATTATTGATTAGATCAAGGAATAATCTAAATTAAGTTGTCTATATAGGTTTAAATATAAAATCATCTCTACTACATAATTTGATCTCAAACTCTGGTTGAGTAATCTTCGATTTAATGTCACTGCACGTAGCAGTAACAGTCCTTCTTGTGCTCATTTTGTATTATTTGTTAATTAATCGATTGACAGAAAATTGAAAAAACTGAGTTCAAGTCATTTTGAAGCAAAAATGCTGAAAATGTTCTTCTCAAATGTGATTATTTGATGTTTTCTGTGGCCTTTGTTTATATCTTTGGGTTTTAGACTGTTGGTTAAACAACTGATTTTTAGAGGTTACCTCAGGCTCTGTAAATATGGACATAGTTAATCAGGAAACTGATGGGCAGATTATTGGATAATGGAAAATTATCAGCCATGGTTGCGTCTTGTTTTATTCCGTCCACCTCATAATGCAGCCAAATGCAGTTAGTAACTGAGTAACTGAATAGTGTAGAGCAAAGCAGCAACACTGACGATGTCCTAATTTAAAAGTTTGAGAAACCTTTTGCACAGAAGTGTCCACCAAATGGCAGATGTTGCGACAAAATGCCTGAGCTGGTGTGAAGAGTGGAGAAGAAAACAACTGCCCCTGCATGTGGTCATTAAAGTGCCCCAAAGAAACTCTGACTCCTGTTTGTCTTCAGAAGGACACGCAGGACGACATATGGCTGGCACTCACGCTGACAGCAGGGAGGAGAATTCCTCCTTAACTAACTGCTGATGTGACACCCCAGTGTTTTCACCAGCCAACACCTCTGACACTGAGATACACCAAGAATAATACACTGTGAGACTCACAATAAAGAGCGAGCTTCTTTGTTTACTCGCGTTCAAAAGTTGTCATGTAGGGTAACAAATTAACCGTTTTAATTGTGTATCTGCTTTTAGCGGAGCTGAAAAGATTAGTTGAATATAACCTGAGACAATTTCGACAAGCCTATCAATCATTGAAGTAATTTATACAGCAAAAATGCCAAACATTCTCTTCTCTTTTAGCTTTTTTATGTTTTATATGAAACAAAAATGAATATTTAAGGGTTTTGGACAGTTGATCGGACATTAGAATTTAATCAGAAAATATTTTCTAATTTTTGTTTTATGGCCAAACTATTTATCAATGAATTGAGAGTAGACAGATTATCTGATTATGAATATAATCCTTAGTTAAAGTATTTAAGCTTTTATTGACTCAATTTACAGCTACAAACAACAATTCATCATTGATAGATTGTGGATTGATTGTTGGATTAATTAATTAAAAATCAAATCAACTTTTCATTACAAGGTAATTGATCTTTGGTGGAAGTCTTCTATTTATAATCATAACTAAGAAATGGAGAAAACTGGATAAAGCTGACTAAAATGAATCCGTCAATAAGTTTTCATTTTAATTTTGGCAGCAATGACGCAATTTCACATTTCTTTTTCATTTTAAAGTCAAATTTTTATTTTATCCCACAGCATGCAAAAAGGTAAACTGAGATCACAAATGTTAAATAAAAGATGAACTTGATTGAATGACGTCATAGGCAGCCCTATCTATACTAAAGATCTCCGTCTCCTACAAGCTTGTTTTGGTTGAGCTGCTGCAACTAACTTGTGATACGAGTCGGAAAACATGTTCTGCATGTTCCTGGAAAGATGCCCAGTTGCAAACCTCCATGATATTCCCCAACTCCCTCAGAGAAATATTCAAACTCTGCCTGCCTGAAACACACCCATCGAAAAATGCCTGAAAACATTAACATGTTTCAAACAAAACCTCTTTCACTGTTGTCCGTCAGTTGAACGGCGGTTGGCGAGAGTCCGTGGTCAACAGGAATGTGTTAGCGACAGCCGGGATCACATTACTGACACCCGAGGAGGCCGATAATCTCCCAGCTGCACAGCAGGGTCGGCTAAATGTCACGCGACAGCCAAATCACCTGCTAATGAAAGCATGACTACACCGGGCCAAGCCTCCCTGCAGAGAACCGAAACCTTAACAAGAAAATCTGAGCTTCTGTTGAGCCTTTACATGTGATTATTCTTTCATCACAAGCAGAAATGTCCAGGTCAAGTGGGATAATATTGATGGTTTCAGGTCCAAATTCAACATTTTGTTTGAGTTTTACAACATGAAAGTGAACCCTCCACTTGTAGATCTGTTTTCAATTTGGTTAAAATATGGTTTTGAGACTAAAAACGAGGTTAAAGACATAATTTACACTGTGGAATAAGATACTCGATCCCAGCAGGATTAACCTGTGTATGGTTATATAAACAAAGCTAAAATAAAAACGCCTCCTGGGTGTGGCACAGTGCCAAGATCCAGAGCTGGATCCAATGTTCTCGTGAGAAATAAAATGACAGTTGAGACATTTTTCAAATTCCGCATTTTAAACATTGCAGTTCGGGCCTGGCACTCGGCCCAAAAACTCTTGGAAAGTGGCTTCAAGCGGCTGGCAGACGGCAAGGAACGAGCAGGATCACCGCACTGAAATACTGCTGAGCGGTTTGTGTCTTTGGCTTTAGAGACGCTTCTTAAGCAGCGCGATTAATGAAACACAGCGAAGTGTGGAGGTTTGCATGAACGCTGCAAAGAATACGCATCCTGACAAGTTATCCAACATTAAGCTGATCTAAATAAACTTTACTTAACTTAATACTTTCGTCTTATTTTGCTCATTTTAATGTCTCAATTATGTTTTTGAAACATTTTGACTTTTTATATTAAAAATTCTTGAAAGAACAATCACAAATCTTCCAGTAAGATAAGATCAGATCTCATTAATTTAGGATATTTACCAGTTTGAAAACTCTTCTTTAAAATTTAGATTACTGGTTTCCAACACATTTTTGATGACCCAGAAAAGGATTCAAACACTTAAAATCACTAAAATCATCCCATTACAAGCACATTTTCCGTATCTTTTTTAATGTATCTATAAAATAGATAAATGAGTTGTTTACAGTGTTTACTGACATTAGGCTCAGACTCGAAATATTCCCAGCAGGAGATTCTGATGCTGGAAGCAGATCAGCTGCTTCATTCATCCCACTCAGTTAAAGACAATAACTGTCTATCTTGAAGCTGAATAGTTTTTTATTTGAACCAGCTGAGCTTCCCTATAAACTTTCACCTTTTTGTCACATCTTTATTTCTACATTTGATTTGATGTTTTGCAGGTTGAATATGATTTCCACAGAAATCCTGTTGCCTCAAGCCACACTGCTTTAGAGAACAAGGTTGGTCTTACTGCCGACTAATATCTTGAAAAGACCAAAACCAACAATGTGTTAGTCCGTCTATCAATACTAGCAAATAATGCATTTTTGGGGACTATTTTCAGTGGTGGATTAATCTTCTAGTGAGTATTTGGGGCAGCAGGATGGGGTTGAGTCAAAATAGATGTCAATGATAATAAGTGTTCATGGTAATGAAGGAACATGTCCCCCAGTGCATCAGTGTGGCTCATTGATGTGTTTTTAATAGTTTCTGAATAACAACGGAGCTTTATGGTACAGAGGAAGATATAGCAGGCATTGATACACACACAGTTAATAGATGCATTCAGCGTTGGTTTTGGTCTTTTTGTGGAAACTGTTAACGATAAAAAAAATGTAGAACATCACCATATTTATCCTTTTTAAGCTTATAATCCACAGCATGTATAAAGCAACTCTTACAAGCCTTATGTTGAGCAACAGAACTGTGCCTCACCGTTTGTGTTTTACCACAAATCTTAATCTTATCAGCTCTGAGGTCACCAACATCTCAGCACAGTTCACATGAGAAAAACAGTCTGTTTTAATCTGAGTCTCTGGTCTTTGCTCTTTGTCAAGCACTTTGAAACCAATTTGTTTGTTGACTGAATAAATCTGACTCAACATGAAAGCACACTGAAGACTGACGAAAGTGCACAGATACTTTTAATCTGACGACATTCTCGCTGACTTCCTTTACAAGTCAGT